TCGAGCGTCATCAGGTTTTCATGTAAAGTTACCAGTTTTGTCGCCAATTCCCTGAACCAATTATCGTGATTCACAATTACTGTTGTATTTATACTTTTCCTGTAAAATTTAATAGTCAGGATTTTTTTTAGTGGCACCATATGACATACACCTAGAATGTATGCCTTTCTTTTAATTTTCACGGAGGGGTTTAAATATCAAAGTTTAAGATATCATTAAGAAAGGTTCAAAATGTCTTGCATAAAGGGGAACCTCTGGGTCCACCACTCTCGAAACAAGACCACCCCTGCTAGACCCGTTCACTAACTTTACTGAATGTTGGAGAAAAGCCCCCTGAACAAAAAACCCGAGCACAAATAATAAAAGTTAAATAATTTTTATTCTTTATTATTTACAGAGTACAGATCATGAACCTAACCTAACCTATTTTGCACTTTAGATGAGGGCTTTTGACCGACTTTGCACTTTAACTGAGGGGATTTTGTCCGGGGCTTTTGCCGTAGGGTGCTTTTGTCCTTTGAGGCTTTTGTCCGGACCCCAACTTCACCATCCTCGCCAGTCGCAGCCAGAACATGAGCTGTGTTTAATAAGAGTCTCTCTCCTCACGGAAACATGAAAAATCAGTTGAAGTCTTGTGTTTCTTGAGCGGCGGACCAACTGTACCCTTATATTTAATTTGATGTGTGTTTTCGCTGCTGTAATTAACTTCGTAGTTGATCCTCTCGCCGGCCAAGAGTGGGATATCGTTATTAAATTTGGTGTTTGTTCGTTTACTTAGTGAATATTTAGTAAATATTAAATAAATGTGTGGTGTCGTCTGTATGTACATTGTGCATATTTTATATATTACTGCGATAACCGAAACGCTATCATGTGGAAGATGAGTATCATTATGTTCATCTTTCTCTCAGCCTCGGTGTTATTATGAATTATATATAACTTACTTCTCCCACCATATTTAGTCGGCTTTAATCAGCCCAGCGCGTCCTTTTGTCCTGGCTGACGTTTTCTGAAGTGCGGCTTTACGCAGTTAGTGAAGTTTTAATCACCTTTTCATTCAAGACAACAGCATCAGGCCTGTATATTCAGTTCCTTAGCCATTCATTGGACAATAATCGCTGGTTGCTAACGATTTGACACGAAGTCAGGGGTTTGTAAAATCATTGAGCCGCCCAATACTTATCCAGTCATCTCTCGGATATCAGAAAGCTCAAAGACGTGACCCAGTTCAGGCAATCGATTCTACATGTCTATAAACCTTGCTGAGAAGTTATGCTATTGGTTGGTTTGAGGTTGTTATACAGTCGTTTGTGGTGTCAGTAACGGGCAGGCTTTGTTTTACAATTAATCTCTTTGTCATCTTCAACATTTCAGTCATCTACACGTGCCACGTAGCACACCGTTAATGGAACCTTTGGCTTTCTAGGGTAATCTTTGACGTCTCTGCATAACTCAAATCTTCAACTAGGTATCAGTTTCATTGCTTTCCTCTATTTTTTCGATGGCGTGTGTTTTATCATCTTGTGGGCTTGCCATATTGTATGTGGAGGCAGACAACCTGCACAATTAACTGGAGAATTGTGTCTGAGTGAGTGACTGTTCGCTGGATCAGACTGTAGGGGTATCGAATATTAATGTTGTCTAGCACTCAGGATGGAAGGAAACTCTAATGTGGTTTTCTTGTATAATATATAAGTTATATGATAGACAGTCTGGTGCTGGAGGTGCCGTGTGGTGAGGAGCTGGTCAATAGAGACGTAGACCCTCGGTGAGTAGCTTGGTGAAGGAGGTAGATGTGCAGGAGCTTCGTTAGAGAAGATGTTGCCTGTTGCTGGCCTCCTGGTTGAATGAAATGTTAACAGCGTGGAGCTTGCTGGAGGAGATGTTGCTTGTTCAGGAAAATGGGCAGAATGAGAGTTGGTTGGTGAGGAAGCTCAGAGGACAGCTGGTGGGTCGCCATGCACGCCGGCGGGAGCGAGGACCGCCAGGCAGGCGAGGAGATGAGAGGGGCAGCCAGGCAGGGGCGGAGGAGGAGGTGTTGCTTGTTCAAGAAGAATGGTCAGAATGAATCTCAATGGAGAGACAGAGCTTATATACCCCGCAGCAGCCGCTATGAGTCATGGTGGGAAAACCCGAGAAGTCGCCGGTGAATAGTTTCGTTGCTAGGCAACGGCACGTTGGAATGTGATAGCAGGTGGTGGGCTGCTATGCAGTTTGTAGGGGAGACGTCCACTACAAGACCATCATCTGGTTCGTCAGGTTGATTTCATTATTGTTATGATATTCACCCCTGTGTTTACTGTGGGTCTTCTCACAAAGGTCTGTTCCTTTGGTGTTTCATTCTTCGAGTAATACTTCTCGAGATTTGTTGCTCCTGTCCTGCCAAGAGTCATCACCTTAATATAACTGGATGAGTAATGTTGATGTTTTGTGTTACTGCTCTTCAACAATTAAGTACTTCAACGCGTATTGAAGATTATTAAATACGCTTAGCCATTAAGAAATAAGAATTAAGGGAGATGTATATCTCGGATTCGAATTGGTTGAAGACAATAATAGTACAGTAAACTGTTACTGTATGTGACCATTTCTGGAGATCGTTTAGTACTATTTTAAAAATTAATTTGATGAATTTTTATGAAATTCTAAATGTCGGAACGTCTTCGTATTGTCACGAACAGGAACACATCAACTAAGCCATTGAAATATATGATAAATAGAATCGGATTAACACACTACCTTGTGAGATGGCACTTAGCACTGCTTAGTTAAATGCCGATGTAAAACCTTAATGAATGTTTTATGAAATCCGAGTGTCATTATCTCCTGCCCCTCCTGCGTCTGTTAGTTTGTTCGCATGTCCAGCACTTACAGTATGAAGTTCAGTGAATCTGTTGCCAATACAGCTGTATTGTTCTCCACTAAAGAGATAATTGTTCATCATACATGATACAACAGTTCATCGTAATAAATTTCAATCTTACTGGAAGCGATTGTAATACGCAGGTTTGAAGTTAGTGCATGGCTGTTTTCCAGTTCTCCTTTATTTAATAAAACATCCATTTTGTCGTGTTCCAGTAGATCGTCAACGGGAGCCAAGGTATAATCTTCATACCTTGCTGTGAGTGACACACATCACTTACAGCTTTGTCAAGTTTGATTTTCATGAACTATAACAGGAATGCTTTATTTTAAGTATTTTAGTGCATCAACAACCAGTCATAAGAAAAGATGAGTAAAATATTTCTGGTTGCTGTTCGTCCGTGCTAATTTGGGGGTTAAGTGGGTGATTTCAGTATTTATCGGCAGGAAGGTACAACGTGGCAGGGTGTGACTTGGTAATGCTGCTCGCTCAGGTAATTTTAGTTACAGCCATCTTTAGTGGTTGAGGGAGTGTGGCACGCCCTCGTACTGGCAGGTCATGGTAATTATAGCGCTACTTATTTGTATATAACTCTATTAAGATGGACTAAACCATAAATTCTTGCAAAATGTAAGGGAAACAGGATCCCTGTAGCGAATGGCATGCTAACATCAAATGAAACATTAATTTTTAATTTATGTGTGTTTCCTACTCAAGCGAGTGATTGTGTTGAACATATGCTTGTGTCACAGGATGTGGGGTGTTGACATTTCAGTTGTTAAGAATGTGAGTGCCAATACAATGTCACATGCTCCAAAGTTTGTCCGAGTTGTTGGATCAGCTTTAATAAGGCGTTGGGATGGCTCCTAGAAAATAGATAACTAATTGCAACTGATATAAACGGCAAATACAGTATTTCATACCGTAATATATATATATATATATATATATATATATATATATATATATATATATATATATATATATATGTGCAATAATCACTGTAGGTGCGGTATCCATATGCTGATCACAAGGCACCCATGTAACTTCAGTGTACAGTCTGTACCCTACCCCTGAAGATGTGAATTACACGAAATGAACTACTTTCCTTGTGGTTATCAGCATATACCTAGATCACGCGCACCTACAGTGATTTACTTGCACATATATATATATATATATATATATATATATATATATATATATATATATATATGGAATACAGATACTGTACACGCCTGCTGTTGATTACTTAAAGTGTACAAAAAAATAGCGTTCCCTGTTACGCAACTTACTATAGGTCTGCAACAAGCCTAAGTGCCCTTTATATTCTCTGTGGACAAATTCACTGTGTAAATAATATACCCTACATTACAACAATAGAAACCTCAGTGGTTCATCCCGTCGTTAGAATATAGTTAAATAGAGAACGAGAACAAGATCTTCTCAGTTCACTTGGCCTGGCAAACAACTCTGGTCCGAAAGGAAGACTTCCATAGTTACAGAGTAACAGTAGGTGATGCCTCGGCTTCACTAACAAAAAATAATTTACAGTTTTGTCAAAGGTACCACATACATGGCCATTAACGGTGAGTCTTGGATAATAATAACTATAATAGGTATTTTAACAAGGGAGAATTAAACTTTTTGTTGGATGATAATGTTAGGAATAGATGAGATGCCAGTGAGAGTGGCAACTGTCGGGTGTCAACAACAACACTCAGGATCAGCTGAGCCACTACGCAGCCCAACACATCCCCGTTTCACACCCATTACCACCAGGTATTTGTGTTCATCACCGAGTACGACACCCTGTACTGAGGTACATGATTGCAATATTGCAGTTGAAAAGCTTCTAAAACCCACCTTGAGCTATCCATGATCAAATTGCCTTACATTTTTTAATTGTTTTATTTACAAACATTGTCTGTGTGCTTGTTGATCCAATGTGAACTTTCATGAAGTTTTTACTGGGTATATAGAAATCTGTCATTGCATGCAACATGTTAAAGGAAAACACGGTTGAATATAACAAACTTACGGTTCTGTACAAAGTGACTCACCCTACCTCCCTTGTTAGGGTTGGGTGCTTGCACAGCAGGCACTGTTGCTGTCAGCCATAATTATCGGCAGTTTTATGTTAAGTGCTTCTCACACAGATTTCAGATTGAAAACTGAATAGTTTTAGTATTTGAATCAACGCATGGCACAACCAAGTGTTTGGACCGTGTTATTTACAAGGAAATCTTAATGGATTCTATAGACAGTATTTATGAAACCTGGTGAGGGTGGTAAACCAGGGGAGGAAGGGTCTGTATATTGGATCAATAATCCAGCCTGACCTCTGATAACAGTCCAGGTACACTGTAATGTGAAGGTACACTGGTCACTGGTGGGTCAGGTTAGTGAACTACTCACTATTTGGTAAACAGTGGAGCAGCTTTGGCTTTGTTTGCAATCTGAAAAGGCTTTTCATATGATATGAAATTGCAGGAAAATTGTTATACTGTATTTTCTAAAGCTTGGATTTTTTTTTAAATGGTTAATGAGAGGGACACCACCTTATTGTCTGATAAAGTTTTAATTTGTAATATAGATAATTAGTGGGAAGAAAGAAGAAAACTAGTATAAATTGACAAAAGTGAGGTTTAAAGTTGCTATAGCAGCATTGTCTCAAAAGCATAATATCTCTCAGGGAGGCTTCAAGGCGTAGACCATAGATGACAATATATAAAACAGACTCATTAAACCTAACCCTAACCTGATTATAGTAAAACAAAATTTAGTTAGGTCAGGTTAGATTTGGTCATTTCACATTAGCTTTCATCAGTATTTGGTTGGGTCCAATGCTGTAGTGTATTATAAGATGGTGGTCCTTTAGAGGGATGCTTTATACTTTATTTTCTTAAGCTACTCTTGTCTTAACTTTTTTTTTCAGAGAATTTACGTACAGTATTGCAAACTCAACCAAACAAACATGCTGATGTGGCTGTGTAGATAGTTATTTCAACTTTAATATCATAACTGTCAGGTGTATAACTGTAGTTAAACAAACTACTTTACCTGTACAGTGATTTTATTAGAAACAAGAATAATAATGATATTGATCAAGCATTTATTTTGTAAGACTGCTAATAATTAACTTTTCATAGACATAGACTTCATCCTCTCCACCCTTGGCAGTTCACTAGTATGATTACTGTAACAGTATCATACAGTACTGTACCTGTATGAGGTTTCAGGGGTGGCCTTCCATACAGTATATACATTACTAGAGATACAGTACTTTACTCTCCTGCACTGTAAAGTATTTGAAAAGAATGAAGAATTAAGTTTTCTTGTAAATTGTGAAATTTTCTATGATTTTTTCTAACATTATGACACAAATTGAAGCACTGTTCAGTATATCAATGTTAGGCTAATACAGTAATCACCGTATTTATTTTTATTTTCTTATGTTACAGCAAACTTTGATACAGGTACTTTATTAGGTAAATACACTACAGGTATAACATTTCAGGATGGTTAGTATATTCACCGTCCAACAATTTGTTTTATATACAGGTATTTAGGTTATATTTTCTTGTTATTTAAAATTGTGAAATATTTTTAATAAATGGATCTTTATCAAGGATTTAATAGTTTTGTGTGCCATTTTTATTTTGATTATCAGTAGGGAGGGAATAGGTGCAGATTCCAAAAAATATTTTCACAGCACTTAATTCAGAATTACAGTATGCGAATGGACTGTGTGTAAACAAGGACCATGGTGCAGTATCAGATTCAGCAGCCTAAGGGCAAGGCAGCAGATGTCCTTCTTGGAGATCCTGGGGACGCCAAAATAAAGCCAGCTAAGGTAGGTTCATGAACTTGGCCATGATGTGGCAAAGGTTTTTGTCCACCTTTAATGGAAATTAATGTTTATATGATTAAAATAAATTTTTTATTAGATTTGTTCATTTTTTATTTCAATACAGTAAAAATTACCAAAGGTTCCTGAGATAAATATGCAAAGAAGCACACTTAAACTCTCAACAATAAACAGTTATGGTCATGGCTGCACATGGCATTGGTGTTACAGCTAACTTGAGAGTGAATACTGTACAGATTTAAAAATCAGTTTTGTTTATTATTGCCATTGGTATTGTGTTTTGACGTGAGTAAATAAAAATGGTCTCATTTTAAGAAGTAGGAGAATGCAGTACAGTACTCTACTTGTAAACTATGCAAGAACTGCCAGTGGCATTCTTTTTTATGCAACTTGGCCAATAATTTTTTTATCTTTTACAGAAACATTTTGGATATATTTGGACTGCATTAGCAATTCTAACAGGACTATTGCTGACAGCAAGTACTTTCTTGTTAGCTGCAAATTTTCAATGTGCATTTAGAAGTCATGGTAATACCAAGAGCCAACACAGATATACTGTCACGCCTAATGATTTGCAACATGCCAAGGAATATGGCAAATGGGTCAAGAATTTGCCATATGACAAGAGCTGTGGCATTTATTGTTTATTCTATATGACACCATCAGAAAATGAAAAACATGAAGAACCTGAGGTCATTCCAGTCTCTGGAAACATACCTGCTAAAATTGACAAGAGCCAGCAGTGTACTGACATTCCTCTGACAATGCGATTTGACTGTCATCCAGATAATGAAGCAAGTCAGACATCATGTGAAGAGAGAGGATGTTGCTGGAAAGAGGAAGTGGAGGTAAGAGATAGTGATTTTTATTATGAAAATGTGTTACTTACTTCCTCAGTTATTGAGGTAACTTATATCATAGTTTCTCTTTTTTTATGGATGACTCATGCACATATTTCTTGGTCTATTAGTGATTGTATTTCTTCCCTTGTGCAAGTATGTGTATCACACCTCAATATTGTACCATGAAAATTATACAAAAGAATTCAAAGGTAAGAGAAGGGAAGAAGTGAAACTGTACAATTTAAGATGGATCTGAATCACCACGATCAGTAAGAGCACTTGTCCAAAGAAGGATTCATATCTGTAAAATCTGTAAAAGAAATAATCCATAATTTAACTGCTAAACTAGATATAGGTGCAGTTTTAATGTTTGTGTTGTACAGAGTCTGTATCTATGTCTTTTGAGTAAACCCTAAGAATTCAGTCCAGGTTTTCTGTAGACAAGAAGCTGTTTTGCAGTACAATACTGTACTGATAAAGCATTTTCTGCCTGGGTAATGTACCCTGCGACTATGCATTTCAGAGCCCTCTAGGAAATGGAAAAGTGCCAGGAATGTGATTTCATGTGTCACCTCATTTTTCTTTCTTAATAACCATTTGTAATTTAGATTAAGGTACAACCAGGAAAATTACCAACCATGTGCATTACTTGACAGATTCCTGAGAGGCAACACCCTTTCCCGGCTCCTCGCTTACATCGACCCACTCATGGTCCAGCTCTTGAAGATTTACCCCTCAATGTACCATTCTGTTATTATCCACGAGACTATCAAGGCTACTCCTTTGTTAATTACACTTCTGAGGACCACGGATACACTGGATATTTAAAGCGAGATACAGCAAGTGGGTTTTTCGGTGATATTAATGTCCTCAAGATGGATGTCTTCTTTGAAACTGAAACAAGATTGAGAATTAAGGTACAGCATGTTACTAGATTTTTTTATTTATTTAAGGGTACCCTGTACTTGTATACCCCAGTACTGTAGTCTTTAGTTAGGTTATGAGGATCGTTTTATAAATTCACTGAGAAGAGTTTATACGACTAAAAGTATGATAAGGCAGATGATCTTTCTACCAGTAGATCCTTAAAGAATCAAATCTTATACTCATTTTTATCTTAATAATGTCATTATGATTTTATGTTAATTAGTTTGTGAATTCCCCAAGGTGACACCATATTTGGGGTTAAGAGTTGGCACATTATTATTTTAACCTGTTTGTGTGTGTATCTCCTTAAAATACCTGATATTTTGTACAGTTAAAGTTGGTGTGATGATAATTTTTTTTAAATACATGGACACACAAACGTATTACATTTTTATATATTCACACATGTGTTTCATATACAATGCTGTACTGTACTCACTGGGTATAATTCATGTGTAATGAGGAAGGTCATAAGCATGTAAGAGTCCTTGGTGACCATTGCCTTTCTCTTATCTCCATCTCCCACAAGAGCTTAATGGTATGCAAAAATATTCTTTGTCATATCTTTTAAAAAGTTGGTTTGATCAAATGTCTTATTAACTGTGCGAGATAGATCAAGAGCTTCATATAACTCAAAGATAAAGAAAAATATGGAGAGGGTTGTAGGGACTAGTGTATGGGAAGAGGATTGTAGGTCCAGTGTAGAAAGTACTACAGTAAATAAGAAGGGCTAGGAGAGTTAATGGACATTCAACATGTATAGTTTAATGTCCCCAGTCTGGATTTCCATGAGCCGGAAACTCCCTTGGTCTCAACGCCTTTGGGAAATAAAATATATAAATTGTACACTGGTTGTGTCAGAAACTTTGGTATAAAAATTTTGTAAATTACAAAAAAACATTACAAACACAATACAGTATTATGACAGACTAAGGGAATATACTTGTATATAAAAAGATCTTAAAGCTGATACAAAATGTTTAAATAATACTATTGTACATTACAGTGTACCTGATATCTGTCAGGATTTTATGCTAGAACAAAACAGTGGCAACACTCAGTGTTGACATTTCATTGACTTTGTTTGAAAATCTTTCTCCGTTATTTTGAGAGATTAATTTCTCCATCTGTGGTATCAAACAATTTATAATCTACAAGTACTGTATTGTACAGGCATACCTCTTAGAATGCTGCCTATTTGATCATTGTTTCATATTATGCACAAGCTCACGGAACAAGCAGTACTCTCATCTGTTATCTGATTTGTGTGCTCTCAAGGAATGAGGGTGTTATTATGTGTACAGTACTGTATAGTATCATTATTACCTCAGTTCTATTCCCGATACTTAATGAAGCTCTCATATATGGCTCATAGGTGATACATAGTGCTGCTGCAAATGCATCTCCATTGGAGCCATGTTATACTGTCCTCTTATAGAGCTGTTTCCTATGAGGCTCCATTATCCAGGAATGCATCTGGAGCACTGAAAGAGTACTGTACATATTGTATTACATAGATCATTAATGCCAAGGTTAATAAGTGCAAGGAATCTAAACTATTTCTGAGTACCTGCACTGTTTTGTAGTTCTCTTAATTTTCATCTTAGAGCATAAATGTAAACTCCTATGAATCGGAAAAATCTATGATTTTGCTCTGCTCAGGTCCCAAGGTTACTGGATTACAGAGATTCAACCTGTTCTTACTCATATCCTCAATGTACATGTACAGTACAGTACAATATACTGTACAATGTGAATCTTTAATATCCACATTGATTCACATCACTTCATAGTACAGTACACATGATCACAGCTGTCATCAATTTTGTTTTTGTTTTCACCATCTTGTACAAAATGATTCCACTATAAATACATGCTCCATGATTATTTTTTTAGCATTTTTTTTAATGTGACCTTTGGTGTCTCAGTTCAATCTTTTCGGTCATTACAGATTACTGACCCTGCACGAGCTCGATGGGAGACTCCAATACCACATGTTCCTGATGTTACTAAACCTGTTAACAAGACAAGTTATGGCTTTGAGATTCATGAAGTAGATGGCGCCTTCACCATCACCCGCAAAAGTAATGGTCTCCCTATGTGAGTAATGTGTTGGCAATTTACAGCTCGGCATGCCTGTTAACCCTTAAAGGTCTGACGTCGTCCCAGAGCTCCCAACGTAGTAGGGGTCTGATGTTGTGAATCTAGCATTTCATTTTTAAAATTTTCCCGCGTGAGTAGTGTGACTATTATTGTGGCAATAGCTCATCCCCGCTTACCCACACTTCTCCTTGACTGCATCTTAAGCAAATAATCAGTATAACAGTTCTCTTTATGGAGGGAGGTTGTGCATCTACCTCTCTGGATTACCCACTTAGAACCCCATCTCCCAAGCCCTGCCACTAAGGCGGACCCCGCTTAAGCTGGACAAAATTATTGAAAAAAGAAAGAAAAAAGTAGGACATAATTTGTTGTAAGATGACATGTCCTCCATAAGCGAAAATTTCATGGGAGCAAGACGGTAAGACCTCGTGATCCACCAACGCCACACTCTCGTAAACAAAGGGAAACGCATCACACGCTCAGTCATAAATTAGCGTCACCCGTGATAGCGTCACTTCTGCTCTCTCGCTCTGTTGATGTGTTTTATTGCCATTTAGACATGTTGAACTTTATTTTGAAACTTATTTGACATTGCCAGTAATGTGATTATGCTGTAGGCTGATGTAGCAAACATATTTTTGCATTATTATTGAAAAATTAGACAATAACCATGGCCCCTGAAGGTGTTTGGTGTCCATAAGGGTGGTGAGAAGGTTAAGCCTAAAACCTTATCAGTGAACGAAAAGTTAAAGGTGATTGAAAAACTAGAAAAGGTGCTGCTTACTCGCAAATATGCTCAGAAAATAGAATTTCAAAGCACTCGGACTCGGAGTGACTGCAAGCCTCTTGCAGTCAGAGGCATGTCCAGCTGGACCTGCCTTCCATTTTTTGGGTGGTAAGTGTACAGCACTTTGTGTACATTACTTTTTTAAAATTAATTTTTATTAAAAAGCATGTATTTCATTCATAAAAATTGGATACATAGGGGTTGTACTTGTTTTTTGTTTAAAATAGAGGTCTTTTTTTTTATTTGCTCTATGGCAGACAACCTCTTATCCCGGGCACCCGTTCCCCCCAATTAGTTCGCCTTAGCGAGGTTTTACTGTACAGTATTTAGTGTGATAATACGGAACCATGTGAAGACATTGTGAAGTTGTAAGAACATTAATTTTATGATTTTCATTTTTTAGCCTACTTTTCAGTTTCTAAAGGGAGACTTCCCAAGATTCATTAGACCTTTAAGGGTTAAATTAATATGTGATGTTTTCTCTTGCATCTATTTATACTATTGCCACATTTGGCACCCTGACCTTGATACACTGCAACAATAACTTGCCATCTACTATGTAAGAACTTTGTATTTTTTTTTACTTTTAATACAATTTCTACCTTTACCCATTGTCTTCCATACCTATTTTTTGCTGTTAGTGGAGAAAAGTTTGAATGAATTAAAGTAATATTTCTCTGTGTACGATTCACATGAGTTTCTCTTTTCAGTCTTCCACGCCCTCAATTTGGCTCCTCCACTCCAAAAATGTTTTGGATGTTTTTGTATCTTTGGTGACCCAGTGCCACCTTTCAATTTCATTTGTCATTCTTAGTCTCTGCCTTCCCCTGCCCTTTTTACAATTGTATTTACCCATTAACCCTTAAACGGCAGCTGTTCTTGGTGGAAGTTGCTGTAGGGACGCCAGCCATCATCTGTGGAAACTTTGTTCCTTGCATTCCTTTTTTATGAATATGGAGGGAGGGAATGAGGAATCCTTAGTTGCCAGTTAGGGGTTGATATTTGAATCTTTATCCTCTCATCTCTTAATCAATTGTCAAAGCATTTTCATTTTCACATTAGTATACGTTATTATCGTATATGGTAATGTAACTTCAGTCTTCCTTCTCCTTGGTAGATTTGATACCTTGGATATGGCTCCCCTAACCTATGCAGAGCAGTTCTTGCAGCTGTCAACAAGCTTACCCTCTGAATACATCTATGGATTTGGTGAACACCTTGAGGGTTTGCTGCTTGACACATACTGGAAACGTCGTGTTCTGTGGAATGTAGACGAAGCACCAGTGGTTGGGGTCAGTGCCTTCCCAAAGCTTCTCCAAGTCCATAAAAAATGTGAGATAGATGTAACCTCTTTATGCACATAAATATTTATTTATTGCTATGGTATGGACATGTGGGGGTGTGTGGTAAATTGAAGATGTATGATAGTGTAGAATATAAAGGAGGAAAATAAACCAAATAAGAAGAAGAGTTTATCTCTTAACTGAATTGTTAGGGTCTAGGACCACATCACTGGAGAATGCTAGAGGAATACAGTTATTAAATGTGTGCAGTGGAGATAATTTCTATATGAAATTGTATGAGTGAAGAATTAAAGAGTGATGTAGCTATTCATTCAGGATATGTGAGAATTTTTGCAATATTTTCTTTCTTTCTGCTTGAGTTGATGATATCCATTTGTTTTATTGTGAGAGGTGTACTTTTCTATCCTATTTTCTAAAGAACACGTAATAAAATTCATAGATTATAATTCTTTGTTCAAGAGCCCTATACACAATATCGAGTTACTTTTGAAATAATTTCCCTAAAAACTTTTGCCTTTGTATTAGCTGCTATACTACAGTGTTTGATCAGAGATTTATTTGTTATTTGCAGAAAACTGTAGAAGTGTAACTTATGTGTGTCTTGGATACTGTACACCATATCACGGAAAGTACAGTATAACATATTGTACTGGTCCTGTATCTTAAAATTTTTTCACAATTTGTTTATTAGTTGTAAATATGAAACTTTAATTTCAGAATAATTTGTATGGGAGTCACCCATTCTACTTGGCGCTAGAGCCAGGCGGTAATGCCCATGGTGTGTTTCTGCTCAACAGCAATGCTCTGGGTAAGCTTTAATTCAGGAGGAGATTATGTCTTGTTGTAACATAGCAGCATCATGCTGCATTATATTATGTCTTAGCAGTGTTGTGCCATGTAGAAATCTCTCTCCATAAGTTCTTATTGATAGTAATAATAATAATAATAATCATAATTAATTGTTTATTGACAAAAGTACAACAGCCTGAAGGCTGTACAAGGCTGAAAATAAATGATGGACAGAAAGAATTATTATATACAGTGACATGGAGGGGGTAGCAGGGGCTGTATGTGTTTCTCTAAAGTGTTTTCAAGGAGTATCTGCATATGTCCCTCATGACTGTTTTACAATAATTATTTAAAAAATGCAAACTCTTATATAGTGTTTAGGCCAATACTACTGTATTCTTATATTGTTAGTTGATTTCAAACAATACATACCAATACCCAATTGAACCTATCCCATGAGGTGAATTTAAACCCATATAAATGAGTCAACAGGAAAGTTTATACAGTATACCGAACTTACATTTAGTATATCATAACCAATGCAGTAGAGGTAAGTGACCATGTAGAGAGAACAACACTTTATGGATATTATTTTTTCAGTTTTGATTATTTCTATAATATCATCATTACCATTGACCATTAGCCCCTCCAGTTTTAATCAATTCTTATTCAATGTCAAACAAGAGGTATTTCAAGGGTCTTCTTTGTTTTCATTCTCTTCTAGATGTTGTTCTGCAGCCTCATCCAGCCCTTACTATGAGAGCCCTGGGTGGTATTATTGACCTGTACGTGTTCCTCGGTCCCACCCCTAATGCAGTAATCAGCCAATACACTGAAGTGATAGGACGTCCTTTTTTACCACCTTATTGGTCCCTGGGTTATCATCAGTGCAGGTGAGCCTCTCTTATATTTTGTGGAAAAATCTGTCGTCTACTAAAAATGAAAACGAGGTTAAACTTTGTACCCACTTAATGACACTCGTATGTATTTAAATTTTTCTGTCAAATCTTTTCCTGATATGATGCTCTATGGCAGGTATCATGACCACACATACATACAAAAAATGATGTTTCCTGCTTTTATTATTGTTCATTCATTCTCACTGCTGTAATAGATGGGTTCTGCTGTGGAACTTCCTTTCCAACAGGCTCTAAATGTTGTCCTATTTTATCACTTTCACTTCACAAACCATAACATTACCCATCAGCAACATATCACTTACTTTCTATTGGTAGTGCAGTACTGTAATAGACACTACAGCAGGAGCTAGTGGTACTTTCAGTATTTTACAAACGTTTTCCTTAATTCGTGGCTACTTTATCATGTGTACCTTACAGTAAACCAGATTTATAATAACTTATAGTGTTTGTATATTGCTCATCAACATTTTCATTACTGGATTTAATCACTTGATTTTACACGGTAAAAAAAACATGGCAAATTCATTTTCTTATCTCAGTACTTTAGATCTTACACGGCCTATGACTACTGTTTCTGTTGAAGGCTTGTACATAGTCTGACAGCTAAATTTGCGAACTCATGCTGCAGGTGCCGGTACGTGCCTTACTGAGGATTGGCGCTGTGGTCCCCTTCAAAGTATTCCCCTTGCAATGCTATACACAAACGCCGGCATTTCTTGCACCCCTGGAAAAAATTTTGGGACGCATTTTCTGGAATAGCTTTTATAGCTGCCGTCATGCTTTTCTGAATGTCATACATGTCTTGAAAATGTGTCCCCTTGATGTGTTTCTTTGGCGAAGGAAATAGAAAAAAGTCACACAGGGCCAGCTCAGGTGAATGAGGGAGGTGTTCCAGTAAGGTAATTTGTTTCTCGGCTCTAAACTCCTGCACAATCAATTGCATGTGCAGTGGGGCATTGTTTTGATGCAAGATCACCTTGTTTCCAGCAAAAGTTCTGGGTGTTTTCATCTAACTTTTTCACCGAGTCTCTTAAGCACGTCGAGACAGTAAATCTGGTTCACACCCTGCCCTGGGGGAACAAATCCTTTTCAATGTTTTCCTCAGTCCTGCTCGTTGTTGGTTGTCTTTCTCTGTCATCATCTGCTACGTCTTCTCTTCCCTCAGAAAAGCGCTTAATCCACTTGTAAACTGATGTTTTTTTTGTGCATTATCCCCATAAACTTGGGTTAACATGTGCCAAATTTCAGGCCCAGTTTCCCAAGAAACTTGATGTTCATTCTTTGTTCTAAAACAATATCTGTCATTATCGTAATAAAACCAGAAAACACTCTAAACACAATAGCTGCCACTGCACACGTCCGAGAAAGGATCAAGGTCACACGCATGCCACACACTCGTTACGGTGCTGCTGCCTGTTGAGCCATGCAGCGAGTTCACAAACTTAATTGTCAAACTTCGTAACACCTCATTGCTTATCCTGTACATTTGTGCACATTTACCACATAATACAGTCCATCCTCATTAACACGACAGTATTGTTAATCTTATTTAAGATAAAGCTACAACATCCTCACTTCTTTGTCCCTTGGAATATCATATTAGCTAAAACATTTGTTTGGTGAGATTTTTTTTTCTTCTGGGGAATAGCCCACCCTGGCACAGTATTAGTTTATTATGTACTCTGTACTATTGTAATTTTATCATACATTTTACATGTACAACCCATGTCAATACTGTACTGTAATTACCAGAGCCGTCCCTAGAGGGATGCGGGGCCCAGGGCAATTCATCCACTGCGGGGCCCGTTTGCATTCTTAATATATATATATATATAATATATATATATATATATATATATATATATATATATATATATATATATATATATATATATATATATATATATATATATATATATATATATATATATATATATATATATATATATATATATATATATATATATATATATATATATATATATATATATATATACACACACACATATACATATACACACACAGTGGTCCCTCGGTTAACGAGCACAATCCGTTCCAGCAGGTTGCTTGTTAACCGAAAAACTTGTTAACCGAAACCATTGTTTCAATGGGTTTTTGGGTAATTGGTTCCAGCTCACCGAAAATTGCCTAAATTCAACAAAAAAGGAAGAAAAGTAAACTTACTTTAAGGTGTGTATGTAGAAGGCTCCTGGGATGATGATGATGATGATGATGATGGGAATTAGAATGGGGGTGGAGGAGAAGGGAGAAGAGAAGGCATTGGGGTGGAAGAGAAGTCTCCCCATGGCGCCATTTCACCCATAAAATTTTAGTTCTCTTGGTTTAATTCAAGATTATTTTCCTTAAATCAACACTGCACTGCATTATATATTGTCAGTATGTAAATTAAATTTCAAAATGACCAATAATTAATTTGCATGCAAACACAGAAAAAAGCGTTAAGTTGAAGAGAGTCTCGAGCAAGATGTTGCCTCCACTGAAAAGAGAGAAAGACTAATGCCTGTTTGGTGTATTGCCAGGCTGGATGGCGCGCATGAAACTAGTGTCTTTACCTTCAATTAAGTTCAATAATTGTTAAAATGACTAAAAATTTTAATATTAAACTTTTAAAATTATTGAATAGTATAAACTTCTTGATATTTACTAAAATAGTATGGAATTTAAGCCCTAAAACCGATTACTGTATTGGCGGACTAATACTACAGCTGGACCGCCAAATGCAAGCGAAAACATGTTGAGGTCGGCTCGTAAAAAACTCTTTAATCGAGGGATTGCTCGTTAACCGAAGTTAAGAATCTTATGGAAGGTAAATCGTTAACCGAAATCTCGTTAACCGAGGCACTCGTTAACCGAGGGATCACTGTACAGTTAATTCCTATCATACTATTACTATGCCAAGTATTATGTAATTTACTGTGTTATAACATCTTTCATATATTTCCCCATTTGGCAATCTTTGCATGTTAAAGTCTTCTGAAAAGTGTCGATTTACACCATTTTTGGGGAAACACATAATTTTCAATAGATACCTTAACAGGTCCCTTTTCCACCAACATATCAATTGTCGTAGTGTCCAGTAAATGTGGCCAATTGGCTGGATCACATAGATTTTCATCAGCCTGCCTGCTAGCGTAGGTAGAGCTGTCCATTTTAAAAGCCTTAGTATTTTTTTCAGTACTCTCCTCTTCCTCAGCTTGAGTATGACCCACACTATCACCATCACAGCCGCTCAGGTCCTTTTTTGCACTAGTTTCTGGTGTTTTTGAAAAAAAAATTCTAGGGAACCTTTCATTAACATTTCGATTTCTTCTCTCTTCCTTTTCTCTGCACCCGAGATGTATTTTCTGTATCTGTCTCTATCCCTGCTGGCCATGGTATAATAAAATACGAGGGCTGTGTAACGATAGTAAAATAATGTAGATCAACAATTTCACAAAACACAAATCACGGACAACTGGAGATTCAGAGTTTGGACAACACTGACAGGTGACCGCTGTCAACGTCCTCACTCCTTTTCGGCAGAGAGCACAGTAAAGAATGACATTGTTCTCAGTCTGGGTGGTAAGATGGGGTGGTTTAATCTTTAATCTTACCTTTGACCTCATGTCAGCAGATGCATTGCCTAACTATGCTGGTCACTAATCCTTCAGGTGGTCTCCTGAATCTGGGTGGTAAGGTGAGGTCAGCTTAATGCGGTCACTAATTCTGGTGTCCATGGGTTAGGTAAGGGCCATGGGGCCCCCACTCGCCGGGGCCTGGGGCGGTCGTACCGGTTGCCATACCCTAGGGACGGCCCTGGTAATTACAATATACGAGTACTGTATACACTCAGCTCATGTCGATTCACTGGCCCACTCGGTGATGGTACCTTCCAGGTTTATCATAATACTTTATGACCTTTTTAAACTAAATATAGCCAAAATTAACTCTACATAACTTTCTCTCCCCCTGTCTGTGTTGGAGAAAAGTTAATGTCTGCATTGGTTCAGCATTTAAGTAACTTATTTGAATAGGTATGGCTATGGGTCTGTGAATAGAACTCATGAGGTATGGCAACGGACTCGTAATGCTGGAATCCCCTTCGTGAGTTCCAATTCCTCAAGTCTTCTCACAACTCTTTTGATTGAATATATTGAAATATTAATACACCCTGTACATTTGATTTTTGAGTTTGGGCAATATATTAACATTGAATAATATATATGAGGCTTCAGATGTTAATGCTTGTCTTTTACATTGCATTTTCTGACACAGGATGTTCAGTGGAATGATATAGACTACATGAAAGATAACAAGGACTTCACAGTCGATGATGTCCATTATGGAGGTCTTTCAGAATTTGTCAATGAAGTTCACCTTGTAAGTGGATGAATATTCTTGTAGTTATTTATGTAAAGCTATTTTGTCCAGATTTTTTGTTTATGGAAAAGGAAACAGTTGAATTTACCAACAGTTTGCTGATTGTATGTGTTTATGTGCATTCAAATGCCTGAAAGTGTTTATACACGTACTGTACTGTTTATAAATGCTGGGAATTTGCTCTGCCCTTATTGTGATATGGAGTTATTATATTGACTTGTATATGTCCATCCTTAAATCCCACCCACGATTGTTATTAGGGTTATGCAAAAAACATCCACTGTAAAGCAATGACATTTTGCAGGATTATTTATTGATATCCTTGTATTACATGACTACATTAGCTCTTTAAAAGTTTTGGATCTGTTCAGTATACTATAGACCTGAAACATTCTGTATAACATTATTTTTATTACATAAACTTGTCCATCCATCTATTTTTAAATCGTGACTGATTATTTTCTTCTCTGTAATGTAAGTTTCCATTTGCAAAGTATTTCAGGTTTTAATTAATTAAATATTACCACAAATACAAGTTATATTCACTTAGAAAGTAGTGATCTTGTTTGACTCAGAAATTTTAGTTGTGGCACACATTGCCATCAATGATTGTGTAACTAATCAGGAATATACAAAAAAGGCAAAATTACTTCCTAGATAATGATAGGCTGGAACTAAATTTGAGATTTTTTGTCCAATATAATAGGCTGGGATGCATTATGTTCCAATTATCGACCCTGGTATCAGTGCAGCAGAGCAGCCTCACACATACCCACCTTGGGATGAAGGTGTCAGCTTGGGTGTTTTCATCCGCAATTCTTCCAATATGCCCTTCATTGGCAAGGTAAGGTATTTCCAAGTACTGTACAGGGTGTTTGAAAAGTATTTACCTATTTTATTTTGCTTATAAAAGGCAGAAAAATGATGGGAGTGAGAAATGGTTTTCAGAATATTATACATAATTTTATAACATTTAATATTAAATACCTCACACCTCCACATATCCACCTTCATTTTCAACATATTGATGCAGTTGGACTTCAACAGTGTCTGTCTGCCCTCTGAAGGAAGCCTTGTGAAGTTGCTGGAAAAATGTGTTGATTTTTTGTTCCAAATCATCCAAAGTTTGGGGTCTTTACTTGTATATCTCTTCCCTTCCCTGTCCCCATAAGAAGAAATCGCATAGTGTAAGGTTGGGACTTCTTTCTGGCCATTGTTGGACAGGTATCATAAAGTGAGGGAGTGCCCCGTCTTTTATGAAAATGATGTTTCATGCATTTTCCCACTCTGGTTGTTATATGGTCTAGAGAAGCTTTTCTTCCGTGTTCTACCCTCCGCCACTGTTGCACTTTGACATTTGAACCCCACACTATATACCGTGATCACTCTCTCTCCAGTGCTGCCACATTGCCAGGTTCTGAGGCATGCCACATTAAATGCTATAAAATTGTGTATAATATTCTGAAAACTATTTCTCATTCCCATAATTTTTCTGCTTTTTATAAAAATTCAATACACGTAGGTAGCTACTTTCCAAGCACCTTGTATTTTCTTAACTTATAATTATGTAAATCTAAGGATGATCTGCTCTTGTATATTTATATCTCAGCATTTGACACTTGTGATATGATTTCTCAAGGTGTGGTTTCATATTACAGTACAGTACTAGCCAGCCAACAGCTGTCAACACCCATTTGACAATAATAATAAAATAAAATCTATTTCAAGGTCTTTTCATACCTATTTTTTTGGGGGAAAATTTATATTCTTATTAATATAGAGATCATACAGTTTAATTATCCATCCTTTTTGTGTTGAAGAATGTTAAAACAATGAAATAGTGATTAAACAGTTATTAAGAAATGATTCCAGTTACACACAAAATTCTATTTTTTTTCCTTTTGTTTGGTATGTATGTTTACTTCATGATTGCTTACTTTTTTCCTGGGCTGACAAAAATTTTCTTGGGAAAGTTGTAACAGATGTAACATCAGGGTTTCTAACAGGTTCTCTTTCACTTATAGGTGTGGAACCCAGTGGCCACTACTTGGCCTGATTTCACACATCCACTGGCTGCTTACTACTGGGGTCGTCAGATGATGCGCTTCCACAATCAGATACCAATTGATGGGGCTTGGATTGTGAGTAATTCTTCAGTAGGAAGCATGTTTGCAATTTTTGCCAAAATTACATTTATAACATAACTTTGTCCAAGAATTAGGACTTTGAACTTCAAAGATGCGAGAAGACGCAGGTTTTCATTACATTACAATTATCCACAGATAAAGTTTTTTTTTGAGGGGGTTCATACACCAGATTTAGTGACACATAGGTATGGTAGGTGACACAGAGGCATGGTAGGTGACACATGGTAGGTAGGTGTGGTAGGTGACACAGAGGCATGGTAGGTGACACAGAGGTATGGTAGGTGACACAGGTATGGTAGGTGAGAGGGCATGGTAGGTGACACAGAGGTATGGTGGGTGTAGGTGTGGTGGGTGACACAGAGGTGTGTAGGTGACACAGACAGAGGCATGGTAGGTGACACAGAGGCATGGTAGGTGACACAGAGGTATGGTAGGTGACACAGAGGTATGGTAGGTGACACAGAGGCATGGTAGGTGACACAGAGGTATGGTAGGTGACACAGAGGCATAGTAGGTGACACAGAGGTATGGTAGGTGACACAGATGTATGATAGGTGGCCAGATATGCCAAGATTTTTCCCGATAATTGTATATATCTCGGCATTTCCCGAGTTATACTATAATACTTTCTGAGACCATGTTCATGCCGAGTTATATGAAATTGCGAGTTATCAAATGCCAAGTTATCGAGGGTACTGTATATTGTATACTTGTTTATATACCAGTATATTTATTTATTTTATTTTATTTTTTCAGGATATGAATGAACCATCCAACTTCTGGTCAGGCAGCTTCAATGGTTGCAAGGAAACTAAACTGGAAAAGCCTGACTTTGTGCCACCAGTGCACGGTGATGTTCTGTTTTACCATACATTGTGTATGAGTGCCAGACACCACTTAGGCCTCCACTATAACCTGCACAATCTCTTTGGATTTACAGAAACCATTGCTACAAATGCGTCAGTATCATTATGAGTTTATGTATTTACTTTTGTTACTTGGGTCATGCATGTACCAAACAACATATTTTTATTGGATAAGTCAGAGGCTACCTTAATTTATATTTCATTTTGTAAAGTAATTTAGCTGTCAGCTAAAAGTTTGGAACCAAGAGGCGTGTGCAAAATGGATAAATACATAAAGTTAATGCTATCATGAACATGTGTTAGTTTAGTTATACTGTACAGGTATTATTAGTTTATGCAAATACCTCTACAGTACACTAGCTTACTTCACTATTTTCTAATACAGTACTGTACTCTACTCTACAGTACCCTCAATGTTATTAAGTCAACTAATAAGCTTTTAATGTGTTATAAAGTCTACAATCACCATATAACATACTCCTAAAACTCCCATGAGGACAGCAACACTCACATCACTCACACCATTTACAGTTGCCAGATTATCCAATTTTCTCAATTTGTGGAAATTTAATAAGTTGAATTTATTTTATTCTTTTAATTTCATATTTTGAATCTTAAAATCTCTTGTAAAACAAATTACAATATTTTGAAACATATTTTCAGTTGACAGACAATTTGCTGTACTGCATAGTACCACCAATTATCACACAAGTTCATAATCCCCATAATTTTTTCATCTTTTTAGTTAAATTTCAGAATAAAAAACATTTCTTGTTTCTTCCTCAATAACCTTTCATTTTTATTGTTACCAAAAGAAGGTAACGAGTATCTCAAGTTTCTCAATGGAAACATCATACAGTATTTTAGCTTGTGTTTGTCATTACCCATAAATTATAGAATACAGTACAGTACAGCATGCCCTTAAAATTCGCGGGAGTTTGGATCTCAAAATGGCCGCGAATATCATTTGCTGACCCGGGGGGGGAGGTGGTACACTTTTACTCATGTGCAAAGAAATGTATATTTCCTTTATGTGTTTGCCCTTAGAACAATTATTTCTTTTACCTGTATACAATATATGTGTGTGTGTGTGTGTTGTTTAGCCACACACACACACACAAAACACATAAATAAATAATAATGGGAAAATTCTCTCACAAATAATCAGAAACAAGACATCAAAATGTAGAAAATAATGCGAGAATCTTCCCTCAAGTCAACTTCATGCATTGTTATTGAAGTTGGGTTCGTTGGGTTGCCATATGGCAACTTTTTCCTCGTAAAAATTACTGTATCTAGAACGAATGGCATCTGAACACCATCTGGGTTGATACGTAATGCCAACTTAACAGAATTTCTTTCGTAACCATCTAGTCAACCCAACATGAAGGATGTTGGTAATTGTGATGTAATACTGTGCTGTACTCTTTTTCACACTACAGTATGTATGTAGGATGGTGTGTGCATGTAACCGAGTTAAAATAAATGAAGAAAGTTACGTATATCTACCAGAAAATATGAGTTAAAAAGCAACCATAACACCTCACAGCCATAGATTTCTTAAAATAATATATACAGTACCAGAAAATGTGAGGAATAAATAAAAATAATACCAATAAATAAGTTAAAACCAAAAATATTATTGCCAAACCAGTAAATAAAAGCCAAATGAGGTTTAACAATCACCATTGCATACACTTCCAGCTCTACCATAGTAATGAAGATCAGCTGAAATGTAGATTCCCTAGCAACGCTCCCCACCAGCCACACACTGCGCTCTCCTCCCATTACGTGTTTGCCCTCAGGACAATTATTTTTACTATTTTTCACAATACTGTATGTATTTAGGATGGTGTGGGTATGTAACTGAGTAAAAATAAATGAAGAAAGTTACGTATAGCTACCTGAAAATACGAGTTGAAAAAACATAACGCCTCACAGCTTGGCCCAGTAGCCTGGTGGTTACAATGACAAGCAAACCTAGCTGCAATGCCATGATTAATAACTATTAAATGCTATTCTATCATTAAACACGAATAATAACAGTAAATCCAGTGAAATATGGAAGGGAGTGAGGAGAGTTACAACTGCCGATGACGCGCTAACTAGCAATCACTCATTGCCCTTAATCGCTCCCGTTGCCAAGTGTAAATTATGAGGCGTATGTATGGGAAAAATACATGACCTTCTTTTCTCTCTTCTCATGTTTGGGTACCTTCCTACAGCAGGATGAAGGTGGTTGAGGGTGTTTGGGAGCCATCACAAGCACAAGGAGCACAGTTTTTAAAAGAGCAGAGTAGCACACATACGAAGGACAAGTGTTTAACCCGGAGTGAGCGCGCATAGCCCTGCCGCCTGCGACAAGAGAGAGCTTGCAGGACGCCATAAAACTCATGGGCTCCGCATCCCGGCCGCAAAAATGCCGCCAACTTTAAAGCTTCCCGCAAACATTCTTGGGTACATCCAGGGTGTCATCCGCGAATAATTGAGGGCTGCGAATTGTAAGGTCATGCTGTATTTCAATATGTTTACAGTATGTACACTCACTACAGAAAATATCTGCAAGGAGGGATCCAATGGATGTCAGAATGTACACTGTGACTCCTATTGTCTCGGTAGGGTTGTCAAAATTCTTTGTCCATTGTGTCATGCAGTATTGTCTAGCAAAAATTTTTGCAGATACTTTTTGTAGCGATTGTAACCCTAAGCTAATTATATCTATTTTTTTTTTACTTGTAATTTATTCACGGTGACTTTACAGTACAGCATGCCTTTCAAATTCGCGGGGATTAGGTTCTCAAAATGGCCGTGAATCGCCAAATTCGTAAATAACATTTGCTGACTGGGGGGGGGGAGACATTTTTACTTGTGTACAAGGAAATGTATTTTCCCTTATGTGTTTGCCCAAAGGACAATTATTTCTTTTACCTGTATTGTATATACTGTATGTAAGTGTGTGTAGACACACACACGCACACACACACACACACACACACTTACAAATAACAAATAATGGGAAATTGTCTCACAAATATCAGGAAAAAAAAATGTTGAGTCTTCCCTCAAGTCTACTTTGTGATCTATTAATAACAAATCACGGAGTGGAATTGTGGGTAGACTCAACATTTTTAATAATTTTTTTCTGATTAAAATTATTTATGAGAGGATTTTCCCATTATTATTTATTTATATGTGTTTTGTGTGTGTGTGTCTACACACACACACACACACGCACACACACATATATACAATACAGGTAAAGGAAATTACTGTTTCTAGAACGAATGGCTCCCTGTCCTGGCCATGAAAATGCCAGCAACTTTAAAACTACCCTTAGACATTCTTGGGCGCATCCAGGGTGTCATCCTCGAATAATGGAGGACCGCAAAATAATAATCCGCAAATTATCTGGGCGTACTGTACTATGTCTTTATGTAGGGAAAGAGACGGTGCTTTTGGTTCATCTTTCCTCACAATATTAGTCTTGTGTTACTTAAGTTGCTTCCTTCATCCGTCCTTCCTTCCATTGCTTAATCTTGGTCTGCATTCTTTAGGATCAAAGTACCAATCATATGGTCAGCCTGGATTTTAACTTCAAAATTATTATAATCCTTTTTTTCTTTAGTTCAAAAGAAAATCATCAAAATAGAAAAGATTATCCTTCTTGGTCAATAGAAGTAAAGAATATGTCTTACAAATCTGTTTTATTAAATTTTTAGCCAAGTTTTTCAGAATTATGTCATGACAATTACCCATTTATATACTTTAAGCACTTTGAATGTATTTAATTCAGCTTTTGACAGTTTTTAACTTAGCTTTGATGACAGTGCCTTACAGATAATTCGAAGCAAACGACCGTTCATAATATCCCGTTCCACGTATCCTGGACAAGGTCACTATGGTGGTCACTGGACTGGGGATGTTTATTCTGACTGGTTCAACCTCTGGCAGTCTATTGCAGGTAGGTGACCTAACTTAGTACAGGTATTTCCTATTTTAAGGTACAGTACATAATATTTCAAGTGAATAGATTGTGTTTTTGTTAATACTCTATTGGTATTTCACAGCCCATACAAAACAATATGCCAGTCAATGCAGCTGAATCTAATAGCTTAATAAGGCTCTTCCTGGGGAAGAGAAATTTATAAAGAAATGAACTCTAGCTGTGAATAAAACTGAAAGTAAAGGTAATAATGAATTTTAACTGTTTGGAATTTAACAATTACAAACAGTTATTACTTGTGTGTATTTAAAACATATACAGGCGTTCCCCGGGTTACTACCGTCCGACTTAGGGTCATCTCTACTTATGAACAGGATCCTAATTCATTTATCACAATTTTTTTTAAATTAAAATCCCTTTTTTTTTCATTGTTCTTTATTGTTTAACATCACTTTATTTATATTATTTACATTATTTGTTATGTATGGGATATTATTGTTGTTTTTTATGGGCAGGGTTGTGCTTTAACCTAACCTTTACTGTGGAATTAACACTGTTCTGACTTACCAATAAATCAACTTACTATCAGGATCCAGGAGCGTATCCCTGTAATAAGTCTGGGACCGCCTTTACTGAACCGTACAATGTATTGAAAAGAGTATACAGTACTGTATATAGGTTTTTCATTGAATTTCACTCAATGTTTATGGTTTGTGCAAACCAAGGAGAAAGTTGTGGTTGGATGAGCAAAAGTTTTAGTTTTAGAAAGTCTTCTTATATGCCCACAAAAGTGGAGTGTGTATGAGTGTAGTGCTGTCTGTCAGTCTGTCTTTATTTGGGTGACAGTAGCGTTAATTTCTCTACACTGGTAAACATGTTAGTGCATAGATACAGAGCTCACTCCAAGAGAGACGACAAAGTTTCTTACTAATCTTGAAGGTTATTTATGCTGAAAATGGACTTTTGATTTTTAGAATGAAGCCCAAATAATAAATTTAATTTCTAGTGACTTTTAGGAGAATTCTGGCTTAACCCTTAAGCCCCGGATTAGGGTGCTGCTGGCAGTACACCCCCCTTCCCTCCCACAGGGATAAATAGAGAAAAAAATCAACCCCCCCCCCCCAAAGTGACGGGAATAGGTGGACGTTCTGGAACGTCACCCGGGGCCTAAGGCTTAAGGCTGTGCACCTTGGTGTTAGGGGGATGTCTTGGAGAATGTGTCCAGAAATCAAGGTACTGTTTGTACAGGAGGTCCAGTATGACCCATCAGACTTAATAATAGGACAAGGCAGACTGGATATAAAGAGAGTTGTGATAATTTTTATTGGCAAAAAGATTTCTTTAGATGCTGCTTTATTAGGCACTGACATTTGGGCTGGAATTAAGACCAACTCCAGAGTTTTAGACTAAATTAATGGATACCTTATACTGTATAAGATTTAACTCCTTTGAGCTTATATGATTAGGTTTTCATTATGAGTAATAACAGTGCACCATAAATAGGTACAGTCGCAGTCAAAAGTAATCCTCCACTCCACCACCTACCCCCTGCTCTTGACTTGGTTATTTCTGCACGTTAAGTCACGTGGGGTGGAGAGAGGGAATGATCGACTTGGGGGAGGGTCATTTGAAGGGGGGGGGGGGTATGCAGTGCAAATTGTTCATCAGAGAGGGAGGGATTGAAGAATTTGGAATTTGCGTTAGACATACAAATTTTAGATCTAATGTAAGAATTTTGATTAGAAAGAGCAAAAATTTTATCTTTTGTGCAAAATATATGACGTGTATATTCGAAATATTCCTGGTCTTGCAAGGAATCCAGCAATGTCAATTATATTATCCTAACTTTAGTCTGAGGTATTATTTATTACTAAAAATGTAAGCCTACTGTTTTCACCCAAACATTTCTCAGAGAGGGAGGAGCCAGCGAGCGTGGGAAGGAGGGGAGTGGGTTGAGTCCATTATTTGAATGGACATTAATGGGCGACTGTATTTCTCTTAAATATTAATTGTTTGTGCATACCATCATAAAATTAAGATGTTATTTTTACTACAATGTATGTATTGTGTCGGAAAAAAGTGGAGTTTGGGGGTCGGCCCAGTCTCTATTTCAATTAATCCCATATTTCTCGTTTTACACGGGCCTCCACGGGTTCAGTTGACCGCGTAAATGCAGACTCCACTGTATACAGAATGTTAATAACCCTTCCAATGTCCTCAGCTGTCAGTTGCGGTCTCCCTGGCCTAAAATTGTATCGTTTATATGAATTAAGAGTTAAAATACAGTCAGTCCTCGACTTACGACGGGGTTAGGGACCGACGACTAGGTCGTAAGTCGAAAATGTGAAAATAATACATAGAAAATCTAAAATGGGTCTCTTTTTCTTCTCAGCACCACGAGAACTCTCACGTATACGCTTGCCAGCCATTTTAAAAGGAAATTGCAAGCGAAAAAATTTTCAGTCCACAGCGCGATCACTAGTTTCGTGACTCGAAAATACATAATTTGAAAAATATTTTATACGACTGCGGCGGTCGTATGTCCGGGTGGTCATAAGTCGAGTAGGTCGTATGTCGAGGAGTACCTGTATGTTTTATTTACATTACACACCCAAAATTAGTCATTTTAATATATCAAGTGCCAGCAAACTATCAAAAATACTCACCATGGCAGGTTTCCCAATTTCCAGCAGGTTAACCAACGTTTCGGTCTGCCTGGTGACCCCAGCCATCCTTGCAATTTCTGACACGTGTAGCCAGCCACACGCAAACCGATAATTTTGCCCGCGACTCGCCAATTGGCATTCTTTAGCATCCATCCTGAACTGGGTGTGGAGCAGTGGCCAAACACCATTTCCACTACCACCTCATCACCTCGCATTTATTTTCACAACTCTAATAGACATATTACAGGGTGGACAAGTCACCTCTATCCAACATTTCATTCTTATTTTTTAATCAATTACGGTAATACCCAGTAGTGATTTTTTTTTTTTTAAACGGAAGTGGCAAGAGGTGGAAGTGATCAAGTAACAACCTAGTTTAGTGTTACTGGTGGTGAGCAAGCCATGCCCTTTCCTCTCTTTATGTTGTCATATCAGGGGCTTTCCTTCACAAAAGCCAGATGCCTTATCAACTCTGATGACACGTTACCTGCCAAATGCTCAATTGCATTCCTCCCCAGAATCTCAATTAAAGGCATAGATAACTAAGGGAAAGTTAAGTCCATATGACACCTCCCCGGACACCTGCCCTCCTGGTTGGTTGGGCGTTAGGCCTATCAACTTCCAGGGTCATTAAGGCCGTCAACGTCAAGTCACATCCACCAACCTTAACACCTTCTTCAGGTGTTAAGGAAAATTCTAAGACCACATACGCTCTCACTACATATGTGGCCCTCGACTTGCTCCCTCCTACATTACCCGGGTCCGCCACCCCTAGCCCCTCCCCCACCCTCTTGTGGTAGTTGGAGGGGTGGATCATTACTTTTGACTTCAACTGTACAGTGCTTGCAATGGCTTCATTTAATTAGATTTAAATAAAAAATTTAAAGTACAATTTTATTCTTAGTTTGTAGTATAGTACAGAGAAAAATGCAAAGGTTTCTAAAAGAATGTGATTTGTAACAAGTGTATTTATTTATATATTCTAAAAAAATAACTTTAGATAAACTGCTCCCAGCCTCTGAGATTTTTTCCCTTGGTACATGATCAACTGTCACTGAACTTGTCTTATATATTCTGTGTATGTTTTCATTTCCAGGAATTTTGAACTTCAATATGTATGGCATACCTATGGTTGGTGCTGATATTTGTGGATTCAATGGTAATACAACAGCCAACTTGTGCCTGCGGTGGATGCAGTTGGGAGCATTTTATCCGTTCTCAAGAAACCACAATACAGATGATGCTTTTGTAAGTATATACTGACACCATCTGGAGCACCACATGTCTTATAGCATACCATTTATAGCTGCAACTGTGTGCATGTTTAGAGGAACTGGATAAAAAGGTTCTTTATCTTGTTTAAAATGTTAATTGTCCTTAACAATTACCTATGTCAGGGTAGTTAAAGATCAGTACAGTACTTTATTTGTATAATAGTTCCACAAATACTCCCAGATTTTTTTAGCTTCGTCAGTTCCCTGTACACTCATGGGTTATATTTTTAATTTTACTCTTTCCAGGATCAAGACCCAGTAGCTTTGGGGGAGGATGTGGTGGTAGCAGCCCGTAATGCATTAACTCAGCGATATATGTTACTTCCATACCTCTACTCTCTTTTCTTCAATGCACATCTCACAGGAGAACCAGTGGCCAGGCCACTCTTCTTCCAGTATGTATATACTGTACAGGTGTAGTTTCCTTCTGTCTCACTTGTGTTGTTCAGGCTCTTGGTCACACCTTTTAATACTTTATGGTACATTATATATTAATATACAGTACAGTACAGGTGCTCCTACAAACTTTCAGAGATACAAACATCATCACTGAGGGGGGTTACCTGCTAGAACAAGTGTTTAATGTGGATGAGACTGGATTATTTTGAAGAAAATTCCAGATAGAACAAACATTACTTAAGAGGAGAAGAGTGAGCCAGGTTTTAAGGCTGTATTAAAGGGTATAGCTGTACTAAATATCCATAATCTTTTAATTTTTTACATTATGTTTGGCATCTACAATTGTAAAGTTGGACTTACAAACAATTGGACTTACTAACAAGCCTCAGGAACGTAACTCGTTTGTAAGTAGAGGAGCACCTGTATATCAAATTAATTTATATGAATAAGTAAGTAAGACAGTTCAAAGAAATTATCCAGTAAATTCTTAAAAATACAGAAGTCTTGTGTCTGAGGCCATGCTGGATTCTCAAAATGTGCTGATAATATTACAGTACTTAATTGACCAATTTTGACATCCTGTTTATTTAATAAATTCTTTCTCCTCGGTAAAACTTATATTAATAATATTACATGTATAGAAACATAGATTATACACATGAAAATGGAAAGGAAATTAATATTATTTCACAAATACAGTACTAAAGAAAAACTGCAGGCTCTACTAAGCTAGAATGTAATTAGTTTAGTTTAACAAATTTATTGACAAAGTTATGCTACAAGCTGCCTAAAATGAGTTTAGATTACAATTTTTTTAAATTATTTTATAGTTGGGGTCCTTGTTAAGTACTGGATATTATAATATAGTTTATTGTATTGAAGTAGAAACAGAAACTTTAAACTCTTACGGTTGACGTTTTGCACAAAATGCATAACTCCACTTTTAGTTCTTTCTTGTCTAGCCTTTCTAAGATGGACTGTCTGCTCACAATCATGCTGTTGTTATCTCTTGCAATACTTTCTGGTTTCTGTCTTTCTCCTTTGTGTCTAGACCTCCTCGAGTATTTATTGTTTTGAGTTGTTGTTGCCTTTTTTGTTTTTAGCTAATATGGAAAAAAGTATACATTTGTAATAGCTAGGTCTTTATATCCAGACAGTATTCCAGTAATGCCCTGACCAATTTGCTTTAGATATGTAGTACAATACAGTATTTGTGTTTTGGTAAGACGCCCTTTTTCTTTTTCATAGTCTACGAAACAGTTCAACCTTTACACAATATACTTTTGACCTTGGACAGTGGAGCTGGAAGGGGGACTTTGATTTCCTTTGATGGATTCTTTTAAAATTGTGGGAAAATGCTACTACTCTGCAATATGAAATTACACATCAAGTTTATGATTGGTTAACAGTGAACAAAGGTCAAGTCCAAAGGTCATCATTGAAGGTCTCTGAACATTGAAAGAAATCATCTAGCGGGATAAAGTGAATAAAAATCATGAGATCACGTTTTCACTTGGGTTCTTCCTGCAGATTCCTCAAGGATCGACGCACATATGCCATTGATACACAGTTTATGTGGGGTCCAGCACTCATGATCAGCCCTGTTCTTAAAGAGGTAAGAAACATGATTTTATTGGATACACTAAAATTTGTTGAGTATTGTTTCTTTGGTTTAAATTTGTTATTTTTTTAAATTATGAAAACTTTCAAGAACTTATTCACATAACTTTACAAGATTAATAGAATAGAAGTTTACTGTAGAGTCAGTATTTCATAATGTTAGGGCTAAATCCCTTGTGTTATAGTGAATTTTACAAAATATTAAAGGAGTATTCTTCCCTCACCACCACCCATTGTGAATTGTCTACAGCTACATGTTGAATATTAAAATTCTAAATATACTGTATATACCTGTACATGTATACCGTAATATGTTTCTGAGACTCCCATCATTATGAATTATCCCAAATTGCAGTATGGTAGAATGTCAGATTACTGGACACCTGACTGTTTTGAATGTTGTTAGAGAGAGTTGGGGATTCTGTAATATGTACAGTAATGTAATTATATTCTGACAAAACTAATACCAGAATGATAAGAACAAAACGAACATCTGTAAGTTTTGTGGTTTTGTTCATGTAGTCCCCTTCACTAGTTCTTTTTTTCTTTTTTTTTCTTTTTTCGGGGATTAGCCCACCCAGGCACAGGTCACTTACCCTCATCGGGGCCTGGGGGCGAAAATGTAATAATAACAATAATAATAATAATAATAAAGAACCATAAAGAAATAAAAAAATTACAAAAGATCCAAAGGTGAGAAACAATACAATACAGTACTGTATATGTATGTTGTGTTGTCAATAGTAAGAGACAAATTGAGACCCAGCAATTGTGTGTAAATGAGGCAGAAAGTCAGATCAGCAACCTGGGACTTGGTCACAATTTTCGTGATGCCACATGGCAGCAGGGTCTACCATTAGATAACACATTATGCTTCCAATATCTTCCCAGGCGGTAGTACCTCCCTGTTTACAGGGGCTCATCAGGTTTTCTGCAGTGTGGCAGTCCTATGTCTGTTTACATTTGACAAAAGGAAAGTCGCAAAAGTAAACATAGTATGGAATCAGAGTAAAACTACATTAAAACAAATATCTCAATGTGATGATTTGTCGAATGATTAAATGACAAGCCCCTGTAAATGCACTAGTGAAGGGGACTGAACAGAATGAACAGTATGGTTGGGTTACCATTTACTATGTAGATTTTTATATAAACATTTTGATATCTTTTCTGGTTGGTTAGTATTGAACAAACATAGTAAAAATACTAATCTAGAGAATGGTTTATATATTGAAGGGGACACTAGCAAGCATGCTGTATACACACACACACACATGTAAATCTGATGAATACAAGCAGTCAGGTTACCAAATATTGCTAGTTTTCTATTAAAATAACTTAATGTTCTGTTGGATTTGTATTGAAGAAAATTATTATTTTACTCAATAAATGAATATTTTCACTACTTCATTTTATCTCCTTTGCTACCCTTGGTGTATAACAAATTTGTGATCACAGACATCTTGTTGTCACTTTCAGCATGTAACTAGTGTGCAGGCATACATCCCTCATGGTTTCTGGTATGACTGGTATGATGGTAACCTCATTGAAGGTGAAGGAGACTACATGAACCTGGATGCCCCTAGAGATAAGATCCCATTATTGGTACGTGGAGGATACATCCTTCCAGTCAGCAAGCCTGCCAACACTACCACTGACAGGTAAAGTTCCTGTGGATCGTGGTACAGTAAGGTTCCACAAGGCCTCACTACCTAGAGACAGCTTATTGAGACGTTAATACAAATTTTGAATGTAGTGAAATAAAAAAAAATTTATGTATGTCTTCAATATCTCTGAGGATGATACATGTAAAGATGACCCAGCAATTATGTTCTCGCAACCAGCTGGAGAACATACTAGTGTTCATAAAAATGTTCTTTGGTGAACAGCCTTGTCAGTTCAATGAAATTAACAGCCATTGTGTTTGTCAGTACAGTATGACGGGACTAAATATTCCTTCTGATATAACAAGTTTCCTGTTCTGTGAAATGTCATCCTGTACATTGGTGAAACATTTACTCTAGCATATGAGTGTGTGTAGTTTTAGACTGTAGTCTACTCTGTAAACAATATGACATTGACTTAATAAGCGTCAATTCTTCATCGTTATAGATTTAGATTAAAAGGGTTTACAGTACAGGGGGTCCCTGACTTACAAACATCCGACTTACGAACGCCCGTCAATACGAATGAGGTTTAAACTTTAAATTTACAGTATTTTATTTACCTGATGACTCATTTTTTGCTATCATTTACTGTGTTTTGTCATTCTATTTCTTTTCTCTTAAATTAAGTGACTTAGGCTATGAATTAGTGGGATTTTAAACATTTTTCTGTAAGTACAGTATGCACATAGCTTGTGTTTCGACTTACGTACATTTTAAACTTTAGAACGCCTTCAGGGACGGAACCCGTTCGTAACCCGGGGACCCCCCTGTATATTTAGAATTCTGGACCAAAGTTCTTGATACAGTCAAGGTGGAGGGTGCAAAGTTTGCCCCACCCTTACTGGACAGTGGGTCGCTGTCAGTGATGATGCCACTCACGAAAAATAAAGTTTTCCGGATTTGTGTCAGAATCTTTACATATTTCTTTAAAAAATTCAATGGATGACAAATTTATATCCATGTACAATTACTGTATTTTAATTTTAATGAATACAGTTCTACAAAATGTACAAAATATATAAAATATACACTAAAAATAATGGATAACCATATGAAAATAGACTTTTGGTATTCTGCATTACAAAACAAAATGAAATCTGTTTGTTGGATGGTTTGAGACGAAACCAAACTAATTATATCTGAGTAAATCAAAGCAGAGATTTTACTTAATATCTAAAGAAGTAGACCTGTTGTACTGTAATGCAGCCTACTAAGTATAATTAATTTAAATTGTTGCTTTTACACTGCAGCAACTTAAAAAGTATAGGTATATAATATCTCCATTAGCCGGAATCCCTCAAACCCAGAACTCTCCGATAGCCAGAATTGAAATTTCTTCGGAAGATCATCCCCAAAGCCGTAATTTTCCGGAAAATTAAAAATTACGGCTTTGGGAACGATTTTCCGAGGGACACATTTTCTGGAAAATTTTGAGAACATTTTCCAGGTACCTGGAAAATTTCGGAGATGGGGGATTTTTATTCCAGGTTTGAGAGATGAAAATTGGAGTCATTTTCTGTTAAATTCCGAGAAAAATTTTCTGGTGTCCGGAAAATTCCGGGAATGGGCTATATTTTTCAGGGTTCAAGAGATAATGTAATGCGCAATTTATGGAACTTCCGAGAATATTTTTCCGTTACCCCGAAAATTACAGGGATGAGGGACTTTTTCCGGCATTGAGAGAGTTGTCTTGTTACCCCGAAATCTCTCATTCCTGGAAGTGCTCTGCACCAATTGTTCTGGTTAATGGAGATGTCACTGTATTAACATTTCTTTCAAAATGAAAGAAGGAAAATTCACATTGTTAGAGGTGTGAAATTGCCGAATCATGGGCCCAGGGGTGACAAATTACTTAGCAAATGAAATGACAAAGGAACATTGTCATTTCTATGTTAACTATGAGTCTTAAATATTAATACAGAAAATGTATAAAAAATTTAGAACAGATTTATAGAATTCTTCAATATATAGGAGGTTTTCAAAATATTCTTTCAAGCTTTCAATGTTGGGGTAAATATTTCAAGATCTGGCAAAAAAATTCAAGCAATGGCCCCACTGGTCACTCTGGCCATCGTCCCCAACACACAACCATGCACTAAGCAGTTCAACGATTGAGCTCTGATACTTCCATTTCTCAATTAGGACTGGGAAAGGCTGTCATTGTTTTGTTTAATAGATTCACAGAGCAATTTACCCAATCAAGTTTTATATTACAGTACGTATTTGACATAATAGGTGAGATCATTATTAGGTAATCATGACATTCTTTACAGTGCAGAAGACTCAGTGGAGAGAGAGTGTGTTTCAGGAATGCAACTACCCTGTACTCTGTTTATGGGAATTGACTGAATATTAATGATATAAATGCCATAATTATCCATAAAAACAGTTTAAACTAATTTACTGTTGTGTGTATCTTTAATGGAATTTGAAGTAAGCTTTCACAGACTATGCCATATGTGTAACAATTTAGTGGGCTAGAGAATAAATCCATGGAATAAGTAGAATTTTTAGTGTACTGTACAGGCACATGTACAGTGTATTATGTCATAAAAATATCTCATTAATCAGAACTTTTATCTACTGTACATCTTCATCATAGTTAGTGACTATAATAAAATATTTTGCTCAACAGCCGCAAAAATGGTATTGGTGTCCTGGTGGCACCAAGTGAGTTTGGCCGAGCCAGTGGAGAGTTCTATTGGGATGATGGAGAAGCTGTTGGTAAGTATGTCATGTTGGTTAAGGCATTACCTGTTAATCTTTTCTCACTATGTTACTGCACAATGTGAACTCCATTAATTTTTTTTTTTTTGTTACAATAACCTTAGAGACATTAGTTCATTGGGTATAATCCTTAGACTTTTCCTTTGTAATTACCTTAATGGTTTCAAGGTTTCTGATCGAGTTATTTACTATTAATGAGTGTTTATACAGATACTGTTGAAAGTAAGATGTACTCCCATGTGCAATTTGTGTCGGGCCCTGGCATTGTCAACTTTAACTGCACCAGAGCTGGATATACTGCTCCTATCACCCTTGGTGAGTAAGACTGAAGATATCTTGACTCATTATTTAATATGTAGGACTCTTCATTATAAACAGAGATTAACAAAAAATATTACCTTCTGGAGGTCTAGTAGATGTCAGCATTATATGTATGGTACCTGGTGGTTCATAGTACTGTATGTGGCTACTGTCTTTTCAGGATAGTGCTGAGCTGCCATTGTTGTTATAAAATCTAAGACAAAGTTGTTTCTATTTTGTTTCCAAAATATCTACTTTAGTATTCTTCAACATGCTGATTAAGTATTTAGGGTTAGAAATGTGTAATTTTGATAATTAGTTGTGTTACTGACCATTGAATCAAATTTAAGCATATATAAGTGGTAGCAAACACATGGTCAGAGAGACAAATTTAGTCCAAATGAATCCTACTAAAAATTAAGCTTTTCCATTGCTAATCACTCACTTCCTGTGAAAGCATTTAAATCTTGTTTTTGTCAGAACTTTAGGAGCTATAAAGCTAGATAAAGAGGCTGATGATAGAATACATTGATAAAATCAGTCAGGAACTGTTAAGTAATAAGACATATTGCTGTTACTGTAATTTTGAAAGCATTAGATTGCAGGAATAAGTTGACTCTTAGAATTAAACACTGTACTGTACTGTAGTTTCCTTTAAGTACCTGGAACATGGTAGGCCCTTCTGTAATTAACTTTCAACTAGGGAGTGAAAGTATATGATACTATGTTGGTATATGGGGGAAGGGAGCTAAGAAAGTGAGCAGTGTGAAGAATGAAGAAGTCCAAGTGTGATATTAATTTTGTATTGGAAAGTGTGGTTGTGTTTCATGCCCGGAAATAATATAACACATATATAAGTAATTCTTGTGGGGAATTAAAAAATTTTTTTAATGAACATTGAGTAATACAGGTTCAGGATTCTGAGAACAGAGAATGTAACTTAGATATTTGAAGGGAATCTCTACATAGCCAGTAACAATATAGATAAATTTGTAGTTTCTTGTTTATCAAATTTAGTTTGTCATTCTTTTTCAGATTACATGTACATCTTAAATGTGTCCAGCAATGTAACGAAGGTTGATGTATCGGGAAGAAAAGTACACTTTCAGTATGATGAATCAAATAAGGTAAGGATGTGAAATGTTACTGTTAATCATACAAGAGAAGAGGGGTACAATAGTCTTGCTGTTGTGATAGTCACAGTCTAGTGTTCACATTTCACTATGGGTAGCATTATAATATCTGATATCTGTACAGTGGGATCTGCATTTACGCGGTCAATTGAACCCGTGAAGGCCCGCGTAAAACGAGAAACGCGTAATTGAAATAACAGAACATATGGGATTAATTGAAAAAGAGACTGGGCCGACCCCCAAACTCCACTTTTTCCAACACAATACGTACGTTGTAGTAAAAATAACATCTTAATTTTATGATGGTATGCACACATAATTAATAATTAAGAGAAATATCAATAATATTTGGTTTTTAACACTTATGTTAGTAGAAAAGATGGGTCAGCACACTTGGATGGCGACTGGTTTCGAGGCAGAGGGCAGATTAGTTGCCCTCCAGTGAATCACTTTCACTTTCACTACTCGCAGAGGTTTGCAGGGCCTCCCAGACAAACTCCTCAAAGTCCATATCGTCACTATCACTGACTTGGGCTGGCTGTGGTGGGTTGCGGGCGAGAAAGTCCTCAATACTACGTTGACGACTAGCATTGATATTGTCGAGATAGATCTGGATATACGGCTCCATAAATTTCGTCAGATGGTTATTAGACGCTTCATACCGATGCTTGTCTGGGTCGTTGTTAAGGATGAGCTTAATTTTCTCCCCCAACTCGATGATTTCCTTCACACAATCATGGCTTGGTCCAGGTAATTCAATGTTTTTCTCTGGTGGAGGGGGTCCCGCAGAAGCCATTGTGAGGGGAATAGCGGGCACAGGAGAGAACTGTATACGCGGACTGAGAAAAACGAGGGAGGTAAGGATGCGTGGCCCAATCACAGTCCTATACGTCACCGATAACGCAACAGCGAAATTCTACGCAACCTTACTCGCGCCACTTGACGGGATGGCGGGCCACTTGAATTCAAAATGGCGTGGCGCGTCTGGACCCTCCAGCTACTCGCCGTGTAAATGACCAAATTTACCGCGTAATTAAAGCATTTCGATTCTGGCAAGGCACCGCATAAATGACCAAACACGTTAACCAAAACCTCGTAAATCCAGACTCCACTGTATTAATATTTAGCTAGTAAGCAACTCTCAGTATAAATTTGGGAGCTTTTTAGTCCAGTACAGTACAGTAAAACGTCGATTTAAAGCGATTCAATTTAAGATTTTTGATTTAAAGCGACACTCACAATTAAGGACAATGTTTTAATTTAAAGCGAATCTTTCCTATTTTGCGCGAGTCAATCTGGCGCATCATATTTAAAATTTTTTGCCTAATGTTTCTCTGGGCACGCTACACTGTGCTAAAGGCAAAGCTGTACTGTACATGTACTCAAAATAATGTACTAATTGATTACTAAAATTTTTGTCTAGTGTTTATATTCAAATTAATCACTATTCTATAAGAATTCCAGTAATGTAAATTATATTCTCCCTGGTCACTTCTGTGACATTTTATAAAAAAAAACATAAACTCAAGCTAAAGGACATAAATAAACAAATAAATACTTCACTAGACCTTTGGCGCCAACTGTCAAACATGTCACTGTCCCTTCCCTCTCTCCCACCCATCTTCCCAGTCAGGGTTTGGTGTTTTAGGCTTAAAGTTTTTATCTTATATAATGTCACAGACTAAAGCTAGGAGAATATAATTTGTATTGCTGGAATCCTTGCAAGACAGCAAAGAATTTGAATATAAACGTCATATATTTTGCACAAGAGATAAAAAAATTTGCTCTTTGTATGTCTAATGCGAGCTATAACATGTTTATATTCAAATTAATCACTATCTTATAAGAAATCCAGCAATGTTAATTATATTCTCTCATGTCAGTTCAGTGACATTTTATAAGATAAAAACTTAAAGTCACTCTTAAGGACAGATAAATAAATAAGCACTAGACCTTGGCATCAACTGTCATACATATCACCTCACCTCCGCCCTCCCTCCCCCCCATCTTCCCAGCCAGTAAACAGACCATTTTGCATCCCTTAATTTTAGCTGTGTTGATTTATGAGTGTTTGTTTTAACAATACTACAAAAAACAATGTTTTTTTTTTATTCTAGAAGGGCTGAGGTGCATCTGGGTAGACTCAGTCTTTTTAGTATTTTGTGTTTCTCTCAAGTACCAAACTAAATTATTCCATTGAAATAACACTTCGATTTAGTGCGAATTTGGTTTAAAGCGACCTCTCTTGGAACCTGTCTCGATGTTATATCGACGTTCTACTGTATATTGTTACTGCCCAGGAACACTACAGTCATCCCTTGGTTATCACGCCTAATTGGGACCCCGCCGAGTGCGTGATAACGAAAAACGCGATAACAAAAGTACAGAACCTATGGGATTTATTCTAATTGGTTCAGGCACTCAAGACCCAACCCCAAGTTTCCCATGTTACGACCATTTAGACCCACTAAATATATACAGTGATCCCTCGGTTAACGAGCGCCTCGGTTAACGAGATTTCGGTTAACGAGTTACCTTCCATAAGATTCTTAACTTCGGTTAATGAGCAATCCATCGATTAACGAGTTTTTTACGAGCTGACCTAAACATGTTTTCGCTTGCATTTGGCGGTCCACCAGCTGTAGTATTTGTCCGCCAATACAGTAATTGGTTTTAGGGCTTAAATTCCTTACTATTTTAGTAAATATGAAGAAGTTTACACTACTCAATAATTTTAAAAGTTTAAAATTAAATTTTTTTGTCATTTTAACAATTATTGAACATAATTGAAGGTAAAGAAACTAGTTTCATGCGCGCCATCCAACCTGGCAATACACCAAACAGGCTCCAGTCTCTCTGTCTTTTCAGTGGAGGTAACATCTTGCTTGAGACTCTCTTCAACTAAACACTTTTTTTCTGTGTTTGCAAGCAAATTATTGGTCATTTTGAAATTTATTTTACATATTGACAATATAATGCAGTGCAGTGTTGATTTAAAGAAAATATTCTTGAATTACACCAAGAGAACTAAAATTTTATGGGTGAAATGGCGCCATGGGGTGACTTCTCTTCCACCCCAATGCCTTCTCTTCTCCCTTCTCCTCCACCCCCATTCTAATTCTCATCATCATCAGCATCATCATTATCCAGGAGCCTTCTACATAGACACCTCAAAGTAAGTGTACTTTTCTACCTTTTTTGTTGAATTTAGGCAATTTTCGGTGAGCTGGAACCAATTACCCAAAAACCCATTGAAACAATGGTTTCGGTTAACGAGTTTTTCGGTTAACGAGCAACCTGCTGGAACGGATTGTGCTCGTTAACCGAGGGACCACTGTATATAATGTTATGGTAAATATCATAAACACACATAGGCATGGCTAGGTTTATTACAAAGTGATGAAAAGGGTATACTCAATACTGTAGTAGTCCACAAAACATGTAGCTATGTCTTTCTTTATTTGAGTCCCCCGTCATAGGAGTCCGTTTTCTCTCTCTTCAGGACACCTAAGTCCTCTGTTTTCTCGCAATCTTATAGTGCACCAGAGACTTCGTTATTCCTTAGTAATGACACAGAATTTGAAATTGCAACCCCAATTGCAACTGGGGTTGCAATTGTTGAGGCAACTAGATATGTCTGATTACAGCGAATGTGTTATTGTCAATTTGTAGGTGAAAGATTTTATCCTCAATAGATGTAGGTGAAACAAGGCGTTAACATTACACCTGGAGGCAAATGCGTGATAACCAAATTCTCGACCTGAAAAATGCGCTATAACGGCAGGTGTGTAGATTTTGATGGAGGCGTGATAACGAAAATCGCGATAACCAAGTGCACTATAACCAAGGGATGACTACACTGAAGCCTAGTTTCGGTATTATCTTATCAACCAAATCCCAGGCTCTATCAAACAAAATTTATCATAGTACAGTACTACAGTAGCATATTGTTTTAGTACCGTCTTTACATGAATTGGCTTATTCCTAACCCAGCCTAGAGTAGGGTACAGTGGCCAAGTAAATACAGTACTGTACTGTACAGTGTTTGCTTCCTGTCCTAAGGGACACCGGTTACTCTTTGGAGCACCCCCAGCCAACCCATCTGTGAATGGGCATATAACTTTACAGTTAGGGAATTGAAGGCTATTGGGTGCAGTTCTTGTTCCACTTGTGTACCAAAAGAAGGCATAGTTTACACTTTCCAGAGTGTTGCATACAGCATTTGCACTTCCACCTCATGGACCATCAGTCTTCTGGGACCTACTTTCACTCTTAACAATTCTTCCAAGTAATTAATGGATTACTGATGAACCATCGACACTTGATACAAGAGGGGGGGGGAGGGTTAAGTCCATTATTTGAATGGACATTAACCAGCAACTGTATTTCTCCTAAATATTAATTGTGTGTGCATACCATCATAAAATTAAGATGTTATTTTTACTACTACGTTTTATTGTGTCGGAAAAAGTGTAGTTTGGGGGTTGGCCCAGTCTCTATTTCAATTAATCCCATATGTTCTGTTATTTCGTTTACGCGTTTCTCGTTTTACGCGGACCTTCACGGGTTCAATTGACCATGTAAATGAAGACTATACTGTACTGCACCTCTATTACTGTACTGTATTCTACTTTTTTTTTAATTTCACTGTCAAATATTCCTAATTTTCAGCTGCAGTGTTTATTTACTAAAGAAACCATAAAAGTTGTGGAAATATCATTTTAGTGTTCTAATGTGACTTAGGAATAAATAAAATATAAATATCGCTCAGTGGTGGACTGGGTCAAAAATTTCTACCCGGAAAACTTGTAAAAGGGCCCACTCTTTTTTCTTTTTACCGTTATTTCCAAAGTGATGGACCATCACTTTGGGGCCCACCGGGAAATTTCCAGGCATCCCGGTGGGCCAGTCCGCCACAGGTATCACTTCAATGCTCTAATGTGACTTAGAACTAAATAAAATATAATATAGAACTATAATATAAGAAAAATGAAAAGTGGGAAGTGAATTCTATGTTGGAGAAATGGGCGGTAGGGCTGCACTGAGCAGAAAATTCCTCTCATCTTCTGGAGGCTTCATCACCTCTGCGACTCTTTAAATGATGATACAGTATGCAATTTCACCATAATTCCCTTATAATTTAGTTCATTTAGTACCAGATTAATAAAACATAATCATTAAATAGTAAATTTGACCCCCCCCCAAAAAAACATCCTCAACCCCTGATGAATTATTGTGCTGTATTAAATTCCTGGTGCTTTGTTTATATAACATGAACAGTGCCTACATGTCTTGATGTTGGTGTAACGCAGAGGATAATTATGAGAAGTGGAGAAGTTATTTATGTAATATAGAACTACTTTTTGTACAGTATTTATGTGTTACTGTATTTTTTTTATTTACTGTATTGTGTACAATATTTACTGTTCATTCAAACAGTTTTGGAATAGTTTATACATATTTTTTGTCATCTGGGACCTAACTGTAAATCACCAAATTTAGGAAATCGGCTCACCTTAGCAGTTAAATAGTCCAGTACCTCTGTCTAATCCGCGAATTATCGTGACTCCACTGTACGTATAGTACTTAGAAAATATTATTCACTGTTTAATATTAAAGTCTGTCATATTCTGACAACATTTTCACATTGATGTTTATGGATTTACACTACAGTGATGTTGTCTTCCTCTTCCAGGTATTGTCTGTTTCTGACATAGGTAAGAATCTCCTGAAACCCTTTACTGTAACATGGAAGTAATTATCTCTAAATTTGGTTGTAGCAGAGGGGAGAAGAAAAAGGACAAATCCCATGTACTCATTACTGTATGTTCATTATTTTAAGCAAATTTTGATTACCTATGATTAATATTTTTTAGAATATTTAAAAACAGTTATAGTCAGATCTCCTATACTGCATTCCTGAAGAACATCATGTTATGATAACAGTTGATTCAATGGGACTAAAGGGGTTATGGGGTAGTAGGTTCAAAGACACCAACATAACTGACAATTTGCTTTACAATTTGTGATATTATTGTTCAAGGAGCTTAGTGGTCGAGTGGATACAGCGCTCGCCTCCTGTTCCAGAGGTCGTTAGTTTGATTTCCTGGTGCTCCCAGTTTACCCAGCTGTTAATGGGTACCTAAGTTTAACACTTACGGAAGTGAGTTCGGTTGAGTGCAGTAATAGCAATCCTGTATCCTTGTGTACTAAAGGCTTAGTATACAGTGTGCTGTATCCACACTGCCTAACGGGCAGTTATGCCTAAGGAATCCACTTTCACTTTCATATTATGTTAGTTTTTGTGAATAAAAGCATTAGAAGTGGGAAAAATGCTTGTTACAGTGTGTTAGTGTAAGTTGCTTTGTGATAGAAAATGTAGCTGTGAAGAGAGAAAATTATGTAATTAGTGGAGTGTGAATCTCTTAAAGAGCTATTTATAATAAAACTTTTTTTAAATCAAAATATTTCTGATCATAAGAAATGTAAATAAACTTATGAAAATGTTTGGGAGACAAATAGTAAAGTGTAAAGCACAGTCTGCGATAACACTTGCTTTACGTATTTGGGATGAACAAAGACTGAGGTGTGTGGGGTTGCCAAGTCTAACTTTTCTATCATTACTAGATTCCCGAGATTCATTATCAAATTGAGTGTTTCAGTACCCAATTTTTTAGCATACAGTACAATTAAAAAATATATATATTAAGGAAAACTGCAGTTAGCCCAGTAGCTTACCTTTACTGTATATAACTGAAGTGTAGATAAAGTTGTTTACACTGTATCGGTAATAATTTAGTCATACAAGCAGTGAAATCATCACTGCCCTCCTCCAAGTTCATCCCTTATGATCACATGTGCAAACTGAATTAAATTAGGGTCAATCCCAAATCATTTTCATTCATAACCAAATGGATTTTTCACTACCAAATTGCCGCCATGGGCAGCATCTAGAAACGTCCACCAGCATCCTGCCTTGTTTGACACTACACACTGTGGCAGCTGCACAACAGCTTATTCCTACTTTTGTATATGTCTGCTAATTTGTATTCTTCCCAATTCGCATCCACAGTGTAAAAAATGTGTTCCCTAATATATTTGTCACATTATAAACAATTTGTGATATGAAAACACGCGTTATAGGAGAACAGATTGTATAAGAAACTCATAGTATTTAATGTGAGAAGAATTCATTTCTCAGAATGGTTGTGTTCCATAAGTAAAATAAAGGAGAAATTGCTTTATAAACCTTGAGGTTTGGTATATTAATGTATGCTTGTAATTTATATAACAATAATTTTAACTACTGTAGCAGTAAAGGCTCCATTTGTCCATACCCTATGGACTTTCTTTCTCTATGTAGCTGTAACTATGATATATATTAACTAATATATAGACTGTTGATGATCAGTATAATACCATTGGATTTATATGTCTGAGAACTGTGTGGAGTTTTAAATGTTCAGAGCTTAATCACATTATCATGGTAGAATATTATCTTTTATAGAAGCTGATGAATGTCCCTCCTGTGATGGCATTCTTATATCTTGAGAGTTGTATGTGTATTTGTCTTAAGTTTTTGCACAAATCACTTCAAGAAATTCCTCATCTCATTAGTGCAGTTTAGTACTTAGGAATATAAACGTATTTTATTATTATCCATTTGTGTGACAAAATAAAACTATAATGGGGCTGTGTAGAACTTAAACCTTGACCCAAGATTACTACAGATTTCGGTAAGCCTGACCATGCCATCCAGATCTCGGCAAAAATGCATGCCAGGGAGGGAGGCAATGGTAAAGATGGTTTTTGGGCAGTAAGATGTAAGTACACTAATATTCCCAGTACAGGCACTAGTCATAGGAGCTCTGGAACCTTTACCCTCCCTGAATACAGCTTTTGCCTTTACACAATTCTTCATCTTCCAAAATTTAACTTTTTCCTCCTTGGCCAGGAGCTAACCCAGTGTTTGTCAAACTAAGCCATTCTCCTGTTAACTTGTTTCATCAAAGGTCAATGTCTTTGCCTGAGCGTGATGACTTGTGACTTATTTTCTCCAATCACCAAAATCTGAATTGTTTCTTACTGGCCAACATCCAACATGCACCTCAACTATTTTTATTCCTTTGGTGATATCTACCATAAAAAAAATTTTCTTGAGTATAAATTAGTTCTATCTTGGCTAACACCCTACCCATATTCAAACTTGATTAATGTCACTGTTAGTTTCTAATATATTTTTTTCACAGATACCTTGACAGACCCACATAAAGAGTAAAATCAATAGTACTATATATCTCATTTTGGGTTTGTAGAGTATATGATCATCTGTCAGCATTGGCAAATGTTACCCATTGAGACATACAGTAATTTTTTTTTTTTTTTTTTTTTTTTTTAGAAATTAACAGCTTTATAACTATTACATGTTCATTCACTAGTAAACTTTTTTTTAAATGATTCACTGATCTTGATAATGCAGTTGACCCTTGCCATTCATGATTTCGACGATTCACGATAAGCAGATGGCGGTTGTGGTGGCTAGTTTGCGAGCCTTTTTTCGCAGCACAATGAGTCACCCCACGCAGCATCTCGTGTTGTATTCCCAAAACTTTAGTGTTTCTGTGTGAAATGGCCCCTAAAAGACTGCCTAGTGTCAGTGCTAGTGGAATGAAATGTTAAAGTCAGAAGTCAGTGATGACCCTGACAAAGAAAGTTGAATTATTAGATAAGTTAAAAGAGGGGATGAGTGCTGCCGTGGCTGGTTGGTTGTTTGGTATAGGTATACAGTCGTGCACTAAGGTAGTGTAAGTTGCTATTCGTGGTTTTGCCTATTCACGCCATTCCTTGGAATCTAACCCTCGCGAATAACAAGGGTTTACTGTATAGGATTAGGGAAGAGGCTTGGTTTCAGGTATTAATATTTACTGTATTTTAAATCTCCAAAACCATAGAAACATAGTGTGGGGACAGTGTATGACTATTAATATGAACTACAGTAATTATATTATTGGTTGTAATGATGCACTTGTCATTTGTATATACAGTAGTGTTGTGAAATTGTGCCAGTAACAAAATAAATAGATACAGTATATGTATCAGTGGCGGATCCAGGTGGGGGGGGGGGGTGTCAGTTGAACCCCCCATTTTCACATACAGAGTACTTGTAAGACTCGCCTGGTGTCATGTTAGACTAAATCATGTCGGATCAAATGTCAGTTCGTGCCAAGACCAACTCGTCCACATTCCTGGCTAGTGGTATAACACTTACACAGTCTGTTTGTCATCAAAGTACCAGGATTAGTGTCCTATGTTAGGTGTAGGTAATTTATCTCTACATTAGTACCCACCTCTGGTCAGTCGAATCCCCTTTTTTAAGGCTAATCTCAATGAAAAATGGACAGAATTTTTTTACTCCTGCTAAAAAATAGCACCAAAAAATCTAGTACTCATATAAATGGGCAACATCAGGCTGAAATGAATTGACGGAAGTCCAATGAGGTCATTGGGACGGCAGGTTGTCCAATCCGGTAAAAATTCCTGACCAAGAGTCAGGTATGAGGTTACTTTGTGTCCTTGTTCTTCTGTAGCTTCTGTCAGTTTCCCCAAAGGTTCACCTGAGGTGAGTTGGCAGGTTTTTAGGCTGTTTTCTACTCAAGTTGGCATGATTTAGGGTCAGTTAATGAGTAAAGTGTGGTATCTAGTAAATGCATGGCTGGAGGGGCACCATAACATGAACAGCAATGTACAGCATAAGGAGAAACCCACAATGGCAGTCGGAATGTTTATTTCAAACAGGTGACGTGAGGTGATGTCTTTTGTATATACGAGGCTTATATAGAGATGAATGTGCCAATCTTCTTCTCATAATTAATGCATGATCAATAACAGAAATGTGGCAATTTTTATAAAGTACAGTATTGATTCTTAATGTTCCCCAATAGTCACTTTCTGACCTGATAGTAACAGGAGGTTGACTTTGACTGTCACTCAGTGTCCCAAAGCTGCCCTCCTTCTTAGGCCTCTCACTCATCATGCCACTGAGGTGTAGTAAGCCAGTACCTTTGATAATTCCTGTGTGTGTGAGAATTACGAAGTTATTGGCAAGGCGATTGGAAAAAAAGTTGGCGGCTGGGCCTGGCTGGCTAACAAAGGTAAAACCATCATGATATCAAGATCACAGAGGAACCATGTATACCTAGAGTTGGGCCATTATGAGATTATAACCATAAATATTATTTACCCATACTGCCCTGGAAATTATTGACAATAATAAAAGTGATTAAAAAATCTGCTACAATGATTTCATGTACAGTATACTAATACCAAATACTGTATGCCACTCACAAAACCAAGTTGTGGTGGAAATGTGAGAAAAGATACATTGGTTGCTGTTGGGTCAATATGACAACAAGCTTTGTTTTGTTACTTTATGTTGATTAAGTTATTTATTAAGTCATGATTTTTTTTTATATACTATCTATAATGCCATGATACTGTATACTGTGTTGTCAATCTGTGGAAGTCATAAACTGCATTTGATTTTATTACCTGCACTTTACTTGTTAATGGAATTTCGTGAAAATTTGAATTTTTTTCCAAACCAAAATAATGACTTTTTTTCAGTGACAGGTACTTTTTTCTTATGACTTTATTTCCGTTCACCCAAAATCCAAACCCTCCTCATAAAATCCTGGATCCGCCCCTGCATATTAAGTGTTGCATTATCTCTATGTGATAAATTTTGTATTTTCATCATTGAAGCACTTGTTTATCAAGATACGAGTCAGGTGTCTTAATGTTTTCAAATATTTTACTGTCAAATCAAGTATCAGAGCTCTGAGGCTGTAATTGGCATTATGATTATATCCAACTGATGTGTGTATTACAATAAAATATATGCTTTAATTTTTTTTTTTCATTCATAATTAACAGGTCTTTACAAGTACTACCGGGTACTTTAACCCTTCACTATGGGGACTCTTTTAATATATTTTGTTTGGCTTACACTAGACAATTTTATTCAGCACAGAGAGAAGACCCTGTACACAAGGGGTTAAGATCCATTATTGTTTGGGACATGTTGTTGATCATGGTTTGTTTGTGTGTGTTATTCTCTTTCCCTTAGAATGTATACTACCTCCACCTGTTGTGTACAGTATGTGTGGTGCCTAACAAACACTCTTGTGCAAATTTAACAGTATTTCAAAATCTGTTCAAGAATTCCATATCACAGCTTATCATGTCTGTAAACCAGGGGGGGGGGGGTCAGAGTTAGGGTAGGACAGGTGACCACAGGTGCTGTCTCCACCTTCCCAAATACCCTTCAGGTGTGAGGCAAGGTGACAGGTGTTATGACATCACATAACAAGGGTTACCACCACTGAAACCATTTAGATGGACACAAGTGATCTGTGAGTTGATGCACACAATATATTTGATGTTTTAAGTGTTTGTTTAAATTTTACGATAAAAATCTGGCCAAACAAATTTCTAACAAAATTTGTTAAGACAAGAAAAAAACTGTTTGGGCAAGAAAATGTTAAAAGTCACTTTCACAGGACAAGTAAATGTTCCACTTAATCTGCACCTATGTAAGTGAGTAGAGTTGCCAGCATGTGAGTAACTGAAGTTTTTTGGAGTATAGCGGAAGATTTTACCGGTGATTTTAGTACACTATACTCAGTACATTTTTAGCATTCTTATATGTTCAGAAAAAGGGAAAGTAAAAGAGTAAAGATTCACAATTTTTATTGAAGGGTTACATAGTGATAGTAGTGTGCAATGACACAATTGTTCCAAGCTGACAGTTGTCATAAGTAATTAATGAGTTACTGGAATATTTTTTTCACTCAGAAGATATTGTACTGGTATTGTACAATGTATTGAATATTCATTTAGTGAAACTGTCATCCCTCAAAATTTGGTTCACCACTCATATCAAATCAACAAACTCACTTGGGTTAATACTACAGTATTCTAAGATTGCTTAGTGTGCTAATCCACTAAATGTCAGTGTACTGAAGAGATATATATATATATATATATATATATATATATATATATATATATATAAATAATCATCTTGTTGAATAGATGTGGCAAATGAACCAGTAAACATGAACTGTGTATGAGTAGTAGGATAAAGTTGTCATCAACTAGTTCATTTGATTTTTTAACACACTTCAAGAACAGCCAATTTAAAAATGAATTGTGAGTGACCAATCATGTCCTTGTGGAAGCTAATCTTCCACTTCAGAGATTTTGGGGATAATACAGAGCAATTTGGTGTCTTATAATCGTGTTTGACCATGACCTGACACACCTAAGGAAAATATTCATGCTGAACATGAATACAGCAAGTATTGTACCACATATAAACAGACAGATATACCATAGAAATTAGTAATACAGTGATGAGCTTTCACAGTCTAGGTTGTAAAAAAAGGTGCACTAATACAGTATATAAGGACTAGGTAACTAATCAGAAAGTATGCCTGGATTACATTTCTAAAACCTACAACTTCTTCATAGGAACAATTTTAATAAGCACACAGGAAGTAGGAACCTTAGTTAAGATGCACGTAACAGAATTATAATTAAGTGATATTCACTGTCATTAAGTTTGACTACATCACTTGTTGAGAAACACTGTTACCGAAAGAAAGTACAGCTCAAGTATTATACAGTACTGTACTGTAATTGCATTAACCTATGCTAGAAATCCCCAGTAACCACCACGTGCCCTCATGAAAAAATGAAGATATACTGTAGTATCTGGAAAGTGTCATCAATCACAGAAATAATGCCTCAGGGTGTTTGAGCTTTCATTAGATTCAATATGTTAGAGTATGACACAATGTCTGAGCTTTGATCACTACCAATGTGTTAAAGTAAGTGTGTCACAGGTCTTTTTAGAAACCAGGAACATACTTAAAATTCTTTGACTCAAAGAGCACTATGTAAGTGCTGTGTGAAAGCTCTCGGCACAGAACAGATCCTAACTTGAAGCTTGTAATAATCAACAAAATTGGGGATAAGTGTAGTATGGATTAACTATAGAAAATTTTTGCCAACATAGTGGCAGTAAGTAAAAGCTCAGCCCAGCAACATGCAGAATACATTCTATAAAAACTTACAAATAATACTCCCAAAATTACCGGTAGCAAGTGGGCAAGACAAAAAATAAGACTTGAAAATTTTTAGTTATAGTCTCTGCTGTCCTCCGGAAAAAGAAAAAAAATTCTACTGAACCTTAGGAATATTGAACCTTAACTTCCCACCCACACAGAATGAAAAATGACTGCACTTCATCCATTATTTAATATTTAGTACTGTACTCTTAAAATTAACAAAACCTTGTTTCTGAAATTCCAGATGGTTTTAAAAGTAGGGTATCTTGATAGAATCTTTATATGTTAGGAGATGAAAATCTTTAATTTTTCAAATTATTTTCCTGCCACTAATTTTCTGGAATAATTCTTGTTCAGCTGCTCGCGTTTTAGTAATAGGTAAAGTCCTCGACGAAACAAGAACAGGCGGTGGGGATGGGGAAGACATCCACCACAGGCTTGATGGAGGGATGGTAGGGGTCAACACACAGCAGGCGCACATAGCTGAACCTCTGAGCACATCTTGACTTGTAGCACGGAGGCAGGTACTCGCATCGCTTTCCTCCATATCTAGTCACCCACATGCACCATGGACATGATTACATTGAGGTAAGGGAAGAAATATGATACTTGTAAGAATTTCATGACATACAGTAAGAACTAAAAAATTTTATTTTATGCCCACAATGACCAAGTACAGTGACCCCTCGTTTAACGAACACCTCGGTTACCGTAATTTCGATTAACGAACTGCCTTCCATAAGGATCTTCAATTCGGTTAACGAAAAAAAATTCGGTTAACGAAGTTCTTACGAACCGACCTCAACATGTTTTCGCTTGCACTGACCGGGCAACCAGCTTTAGTATCAGTCCGCCAATACATTAATCGGTTCTAGGGCTTAAATTCCTTACTATTTTAGTAAATATCAAGAAGTTTATACTATTCAATAATTTTAAAAGTTGAATATTCAATTTTTTAGTCATTTTAACAATTATTGAACATAATTGAAGGTAAAGTGACTAGTTTAATGCACGGCATCCAGCCTCTTAACACAGCAAACAGGAGTTAGTCTCTCTCTGTTTTCACTGGAGGTAACATCTTGCTTGAGACTCTCTTCAACTAAATGCTTTTTTTCTGTTTCCAAGCAAATTATTGGTCATTTTGAAATATATTTTACATATTGACAATATATAATGCAGTGCAGTGTTGATTTAAAGAAAATAATCTTGAATTACACCAGAGAGCTAAAATTTTATGGGTGAAATGCCGCCATGGGGTGACTTCTCTTCCACCCCAATGCCTTCTCTTCTTCCTTCTCCTCCACCCCCATTCTAAATCCCATCATCATCATCATCATCATCATCATCATCATCATCATCATCCAGGAGCCTTCTACATACACACCTCAAAGTAAGTGAACTTTTCTTCCATTTTTGTTGAATTTAGGAAATTTTCGGTGAGCTGGAACCAATTACCCAAAACCCATTGAAACAATGGTTTCGGTAAACGAACGACCTTCTGGAACGGATTGAGTTCATTAACGGAGGGGTCACTGTACTGTACAGTAGTAGTATTACCTTATCTGAAACTGTTGCTAGAAATAACGGGTATTTCTTTTTAAGAATAGTATGACAGTAGATATTTCTCTTACATCTAAGAAAACACTAGTGAGCAAACCTGAAGTTCCCTCTGATGTCTTGATTTTTGTTTGTCTTTATGATGACGTTTATAATTTATACACATTGGATTGTTTTTGTTAAAGGAGAACAAAACCTTCAATAACCAAAATGCATTTCTGAATAGTCATTATTGTACCTGTACAGTAGTTCATTATGTAATTAGTGTTATTATACTTCATTTTCATGTATATAAATTATATACATTTATACAGTGTACTGTACTACTGTATATACAGTACAGGCATCCCCCTGAGTTCTAGAATGGATGCATTTTTTAAAAATTGTTGAACGTAAAAATCCATAACACAAAACCTATCTTCCTTTTGAAACCCATCGATGCAATTGGAGATGTGCCTATGTATTTTTTTTTCTTGGGGGGGCAAAAGGCAATTAAAAGTTACAAATAAACCTTTTAAGAAGTAATAAAGAAAAGTTTTAATAATTAATGATATAATATAACATTCATTCATAAAAGACTTCAATTTAACTCAACAGAAATGCATGACAACAGACACTCAGAGGGAAAAGATTTAAAGAATCCTTGTGAAACGCATGTGACTGTGAGGGTCTACATATTGCCAGAAACCCCACAAACTGGTAAAACAATTTGAACCAAAAGATTATACAGTACTGTATATGAAAAAGGAGTTTTAGGAACCTAGAGAGTGTTAGGGTGACACGTTATATACAGTACTCGCAGAAGCTAATAAGTCTGGCAGTGTGGGTAAGCCGTGTTCCTAATGCTTGCTACAAACAAGGGTGTTATAAACTCCATAAAAAGTATTTAAGTATTTTTTAAATACTCATTGATGTGTAGAAAAATGGGAAAATTATCCTTATTTCCTTAAGGGTGAATTTTTTTTAAATATCCCAATTTTTATGGTAATAATTTACAAAATACTGACAAGAAAATTTCTGTAACCCTAATGTTCTTAACACAAGTAAAGTTTAAATGGAGTTCCCCAAATGTATATTAGAAAATGACAAGTTTTGCTGTTATCATATTTTGCTTGATGATGGGAGGGAATGTGAAGATGAGTGGTGGTGCCTCACCTGCATATCTCAGTGCGGATGGTCTGGGGAAACTTGTCAGTGTTGAGGATGGCCAGCCATTCTCCCCTCACGTTCTGTGCCCAGCCAGGTCTCACGTACTGCACGGAGCTCTCACACACAAAGTGCCCATCATTTCTGTATGATGACGGTCAGGCGAGAATGTGATTATTATCATTTAAGTCTTCCATGAAAAGTACCAGCACTGTAGATCAGCTGGTCAAAAGATGATTTTGACAGGGCAGTCTTCACGGTCTTATTTTGATGTTTGAAATATGTACAGTACAGATAAAAAAAAGCTTAAATGAGATCATACTACAGTATATTATCTCTTGATATTTAAAGGTACAGATGTATTCATTTCTCATTAGGTTTATGGAATTTATTCTTAGTTTGGGGTTACCAATGTCTTCACCTTATTTTGTCATGTCTGTGGCCTGGATGAAGATCTGGTTTACCTGCCATAGTTTATGGATCCTTGCTATACACCACGAAATTAATAAGTTTAAAGTTCAATGGGACAGCAAACACCTCATGTTGTAGGTCAGGGAGTGGTGGGTAACCTGTACAGTGTGTACTGTTATTGTAACTACTTCAGTTGGGCTCAGTACTGTTGCCAAAGGTGTAAGTCACTTGCACTATAATTTTGTCATGCATGTAGTGTTGCCATAATTGTAGTCTACTTTTGTCATGCTTATGTTTCCTTACCTGAAAGTTGATATATTGTATGGGACAGCATTTCATGCATGTACTCTTTACTATATCTGTAGCAATGCCATGTCTGACATTTATTATACATGTACTTGTACTTTTGACATATATGACAGTTGTCACACCTGTAATGTTGCTATACTTGACACAATATCTACTTTTGTATATCCGACAGTTGGCATACATGTATTGTTTACCATATCTGTAGTGTTGTTATATCTGACAGTTGCCATACCTAGTGTTGCTATACCTCACAGTTGCCATATCTGTAGTGTTGCTATATCTATTGGTTGCCATATGAAGTGTTGCTATCCCTGACAATTGTAATATATGTAGTGATGGTATATCTGACAGTTTCCATACCTAGTGTTGATATACCTGACAATTGCCATACCAGGAGTGTTGGCATGCCCATCTTTTTGATATACTCAACAGCTGCCATACATTTAATGCTGTCAAACTTTTACTTTTACTTTTTACTTTTATTCTCTTCACCACTGATCGGCTCGTTAGCCGCTTGGGCGATCGGTCACGTCTCTGTTACGCAGTGTTGGCAAGTACTGGGCATGCACCGGCTCCTAAATGTACCTGAACCAGCTCCAGTGTTGGTCAAGTCTTGTCTTGAAAGAGCTCACACTGACAGTTGCCATGCCTGTAGTGTTGTTATACCCAACAGCTGCTGTACATGTAGTGTGATACCTGACAGTTGCCATACATGTAGTGTTGTTTTACCTTATAATTGTCATATTTGTAGTGTTGCTATACCTGACAGTTGCCATACCTGACAGTTGCCATACCTGACAGTTATTATACCTGGCAGTGTTGTTATACATGTAGTGCTGTTATTTGCAGCAGTTGCCATACCTGTCATGTTATACCTGACAATTGCCATATCTGGAGTGTTGCTATACCTGCCAATAGTGTTGCCACACCTGACATTTGTCATACCTGTAGTGGAGGGTGGCATTGTCATAGTAGACAATGTCGTTGGTGTGGAAGCGGTATAGGTTGCTGTAGATGTGGCGGATGTCATTGTAGAAACGATCACTGATAGCGTTGACCTTGTCCCTGTGAAGTGATGAGACATGGCTGAAAATGGAGGTGAGAGGCACAAGGAAAACACTTGAGAGATGCTGAGAAGTGAAAGACACGACTGGTAGATGCTGAGAGGTGAAGGTGAGAAACACAAGGGAGATGCATGCAGCAACTGAATGATCCTGAAACTTGAGATATGACTGAGAGATATACACAGCATGGCTGAGAGACATCAGAAGAGACCATCAAGAAGAAAATAAAACACGGTGAAACTAAACAGTGAAACATACAAAATATATACCAGTACACACGAGTTAAGGAAATGTAAATATTGAAACACACACACACTACATATAAGGTAGAATATATATTTACCAAACTTTTATTTTTTTTACTTTTATCCTCTTTGCCACTGATTGACTCGTTAGCTACTTGGGCGGTCGGTTAAGCAGGAGCGTCCCAGCATAAAACCGTGTTGGCAATCCTTTACAAGGTTATTTCGTAGATGTTCCATCATGGCATCTCTTATAATGCCTTCAAGTACTTTACATACTATGCTGGTCAGGCTCACTGATCTATAATTATTCGTGGAGTGACGATCGCCCTTCTTGAAAATAGGACTCACATTAGCCATTTTCCGTTCACTGGGGACCTTTTGCTCATCCAGACATTTACAGAACAGGATCTTCAGGGGCTCGGCAAGCTCGTTGCACAACTCTCTTAGCACTGGGATGCACCATGTCAGGGCCGGGACTCTTATGAACCTTTAGCTCTGACAAAGGGCACAGGTAAAATCATACAAGAGAAAAGGTAGACCTAAGAGTTTACGTTATAACTTGATGAACAGAGTAAGTCCTGGTCACCTACTTGATGACAGACACACAGATCGTTAAATATAGTTATGTAGGTAGATAGATGGATGGATAGATAGATAAGACATAAGTACACTGGGAGATATATAGATAGATAGGTATGAATAGATAAATACTGTTCATAGATTGGATAGATAGATAAAGATAGACATAGATGAGATAAGATGGATAGAATGGTACTAGCAGCGTTTAGGAAGGTACTGTACTCAAGTGGGGCTGAATTACTCACACTCATAGTAGGTTAAAAAGTTCTCATAACGGATAAGGAAGTATTCAGCCAGTACTCAGCGGGTAGGAAGTATACTCATTGTGGATAAGGAAGTGCTCACAGCAGGGAGAGAAGTACTCATAGCTGATAAAGAAGTACTCAGCAGGTAGGAAAGCAATCACAGCAGGAAAGGAAATGCTCAGAGCAAATAGAAAAGTACTTAACATGTAGGTAAGTACAGTTCTCAAAGCAGGTAGGGAAGTGCTCAAAGTGGGTATGTAGTACTCAGGAAGATACAACGGGAAGGCAAGTGTTCACAGCAGCGAAGGAAGTACTCAACATACAGGGAGGAACTTACAGCGGGTAGTTATTGTCATAGAGGCAGTAGGTGCCTGAGCCAGCACAGACAGGGCGGGGACCCCTCACGTTGCCAGGAACCAAAGGGTTGTGAAGCACATCTGTGGAAAATTCCCACAAAAAAGATTATTACTTGCATGTTAACTATTTTTACAAAATGAAAGCATAGGATTGCAGACTAAGACAATGAATAAGATAAGACTAAATTATAAGATTACTGGATAAAAACTAGGGTTGCAGACTAACACACATACATTTTAAGTGCTTTTGTGTAATAATCAGATAAGTTCATTGAAGAAACACTACATTAATGGTAATTAATATTAAATAATTAGGGAATATTTACGTGTGGTAATTACTATACCTGGAATAGGTGGTGAGGCTACGGGCACACCTAGGCCTAGAGACACGCCCACAGGTCCAGGGATGACTCCAAGAGCTGCTCAGAGGAGGAAATGATATTGGAACTTACGTCATGACGTCATCTTTCTCATGTCATAAGCATTGGTCATAAGTGGTGGCGTCATTCATTAGTTGTCTGTCAGAATTACAGTCCTTGGAAACTGTCATAAGTTCTATATTGTAGGTGACTGTTTAATGGTCCACAACCGTTTTTTATTATCTTAGCTGGTACAGTGTCGTTATTTGTGGCTACAGTATTGTACTGTGTGGGCAAGTTGATATAACTTCAGATACATTGTTCTTGTTGCAATAGTGTCGCTGCCCGGTAGTGTTCCTCATCACCTCCAGCCTAGGTGAGTCACGTCCGAGGCGGACGGGTGTTAAAAAACCCTTACGTTTGTCATATCTCACTTTTAGTATGAATCTTTTTGTTTTGTTAATCTAGTTTTAGGTTCTACTAAAATGTGTTGTGAAATCCTTTAGTAATTTAGTGTTCAGTTTATAACCAAGATAAATATTTCAAGTTTTAATAATTCAGAAAATAATAGACAAAATAAATTTAAAGTTTTCAAGTTATGATGTATAAATTTTTATATGATGAGTCCGTAAGCCACGACCCGATCCAGAGGTAAAAAAACTGTTGCCATCTGTTAGGTTGTTATTGGCCAGTCCTCAAGTCTTCTGACGTCACAAAGAACACAGGAAGATAGAACACAACACATACAGTCCAATTTCTTGTATACATTTACGGTACTCTCAGGACACAGAAGTGGTGGAAGGAAGTTATAAGTGAGTGTGAGGGAGGGAGGCACTATCTACTGACGTCTGGGGGAGGGAGGCACTATCTACTGACGTCTGGGGGAGGGAGGCACTATCTACTGACGTCTGGGGGAGGGAGGCACTATCTACTGACGTCTGGGGGAGGGAGGCACTATCTACTGACGTCTGGAGGTACTGACGTCTGGGGGAGGGAGGCACTATCTACTGACGTCTGGGGGAGAAGGCACTATCTACACGACGTCTGGGAGGGAGGCACTATCTACTGACGTCTGGGGAGGGGCACTATCTACTGACGTCTGGGGGAGGAGGCACTATCTACTGACGTCTGGGGGAGGAGCACTATCTACTGACGTCCGGGAGGGAGGCACTATCTACTGACGTCTGGGGAGGGAAGGCGGGACTATCTACTGAAGTCTGGGGAGGGAGGGACTATTCTGACGTCTACTCTACTGACGTCTGGGGAGGAGGCACTATCTACTGACGTCTGGGGGAGGAGGCACGATCTACTGACGTCTGGGGTAGGGAGAGTACTGAAGTCTGGGGGAGGGAGGCACTATCTACTGACGTCTGGGGAGGGAGGCACCATCTACTGACGTCTACTGACGTCTGGGGAGGAAGGCGGACTATCTACTGACGTCTGGGGAGGAAAGGCGGGACTATCTACTGACGTCTGGGGAGGAGGCACTATCTACTGAAGTCTGGGAAGGGAAGGCGGGACTATCTACTGACGTCTGGGGAGGGAGGCACTATACTGAAGTCTGGGAGGGAAGGCGGGACTATCGTCTGGGGAGGGAGGCACTATCTACTGAAGTCTGGGGGGGAGGCACTATCTACTGAAGTCTGGGGAGGGAGGCACTATCTACGTCTGGGAGGACTATCTACTGAAGTCTGGGGAGGGAGGGACTATCTACTGACGTCTGGGGGAGGGAAGGGGACTATCTACTGGGGAGGGAAGGCGGGGTCTGGGGAGGGAGGGACTATCTACTGACGTCTGGGGAGGGAGGGACTATCTACTGACGTCTGGAGGAGGGAGGGACTATCTACTGAAGTCTGGGGAGGGAGGGACTATCTACTGACGTCTGGGGGAGGGAGGGACTATCTACTGACGTCTGGAGGAGGGAGGACTATCTACTGAAGTCTGGGGGGAGGAGGAACTATCTATACTGACGTCTGGGGCAGGGAGGGACTATCTACTGACGTCTGGGGAGGGAGGACTATCTACTGACGTCTGGGGGAGGGAGGGACTATCTACTGACGTCTGGGGGAGGGAGGGACTATCTACTGACGTCTGAGGGAGGGAGGGAACTTGTACTTACGTTTGAAAGATGGAAGAAGGGAACTTGTACTTTTGCCTGAGGGAGGGAAGAAGGGAACTTGTACTTATGCCTGAGGGAGGGAAGAAGGGAACTTGTACTTATGCCTGAGGGAGGGAAGAAGGGAACTTGTACTTACGCCTGAAGGAGGGAAGAAGGGAACTTGTATTTACGATTACGCCTGAAGGAGGGAACATTACTTACATCCCAGGTAGCGTTCTGGCAGGAAGGGAAGGATCTTGCTGGACCTCAACAGTGGCTCCCGGTCTGTGTTGGGGGTGGCGGGAAACGCAGAGAACAGAACATTGAAGACATGATAAAATTTTATTCTACAGATATTCCTACACGTGTTGCATATAGCTGTTGATAGTTGCAGGTGTTATGCATTCGTGTTTCGTTGAGGTGGGTGTTAGCAGGTGCGTGACGTGTGTGATGTTTACGAGTGTGAAAGTGCGCGAGTGACTGTTGGTGGTGGTGTCTGTGCCAGTGCTGCTTGGAAGAGTAAGTTTTCAATGAGGTATGGGAGAGTTTTCAAGTTTTCTTTTAAGTTTGGGAGTTTAATTTTTCTATAAAGTTTTATGGTGCATGAGATGTTAATTTTATTCTGTACTTGACCTAATTCTCTTTATTGTTACAGATAAAACACTATTATATGTTAATGAGACCAGAACAGTTTTTTATCAGAAAGTAAAATCTTAATATAAACAAACTGTGTGTCAGTATCTCGTCGTGACCATGACGTGACGCTTTCGATCGGTAGGTATTCATTTACAGTACACGGTACATGGGATTACCGTTAGACATTGATAAACATGTTTTGCTGAATATATATATATATATATATATATATATATATATATATATATATATATATATATATATATATATATATATATATATATATATATATATATATATATATATACCATCTATCTATCAGTTCCTGAAGGTGTAAATATGCAATGAACTGATTGCCTTAACCTAAAACACAAAAAATTAATAAAAAAATTGGAGTAAGTCACACTGGGACTGCCTTAACTAGTTGTTTACCTAGAACCGGTCAGGAGACAATGAAGTGATCACATGAAGATTAGACAGATCAACCTAAAACTCCTTACGTTTACCGGGGGGGGGGGGGTTAACTTAGGTTAGCATTAGAATGTTTAATATACTACAATAAGTTGGGGTGACTTATCTTCAGGTGATCTCAATTACTGTATACAATAAAATATTTTCCTAAAAATCTGTACGTAACTCATATCTGGTGGTTAGTGAAAATACTTCCTTATGAAAGGTTCGCAGACTTTTTTTAGTGTTAATTTTGAAGAATTATATATATATATATATATATATATATATATATATATATATATATATATATATATAATTTTTTTTAAGCGCAATTCTTACATCTTCATTTACGAGGAATATTTATCGATTTATCGAAGGCATATAAATACATGAGAATTTAAACCCTGGGGCCTGGATAATAGTTTCCTTTTCCCTCTTTGTTCCAGTGAGAGTGAAAATGGGTCCTATATGCACGACTGCCCGTTTGGTACACAAGGAGGCAGCATGGCCGGTACTGCACTTGACCGCTTTCACTTCCCCAAGTTGTAAACTTAGGTACCCATCTACAGCTAGGTGAACTGGGAGTGGCCGGATCAAACCACCCATCCATGAAACAGGTGAGCGTTGTATCCGGTCGACCATAAGAGAAATTTATCTTCAACATTTATCAAAAGTTTAAATTTGGTGTGACTGAACGAGGTGTAGGACATAAGAGATGAGGGAGGGGATGACAATAACAAGTTGCTGAGTGGAGGAGGAACATCTTCAGGAACCTGGGAGGGAAACTGGTCATGTTATATGCCAGGGAGGAAGTAACGAACACAGGAAAGACCACAACATTGTAAACATTCAGAGTACATAAACCCAAACCAACAAAGTCGTTATTAATATAAAATGTTATTAAGTATATAGCATAATGGATAAATAAGTCGATTGGCACAGTATAAGAAAACGTTGACCATCTGTTTGGAACGTTATGGCAGGTTCACTTTGATCACATATATCAACATGTTTCTACTCTTTTAATCTTTGCGATTTATATTATTTAGTAGGACTATTTTATTTATATTTTGAGTCTCTAGCTAACTTAAAGGTGTTAGTAAATGAGGGTGCAGTGTGTCAGTAGTTCCAGAAGCTCGTAATGGCACATCTCGCAGTCCTTAACAGTCTAATTATGTCATCTGATCCACCAACATTTTGTAACATCAGAGACATAAACGACTACAACAGCAAATTATCAGGATTTTTTTTCTTGGGAGTAACAACACGTGTCAGGGGATGATGATGATAATGATGATAATGATGATGGTGATGGTGATAAGTAGGTCGTTGAAGTCTTCCCCTGCAGGTAGAGAATTAACCACCTTCACGCTACCTATAGGATTAGGCCATTGGTTAGTTAGGGTAAATAATCTTCCGGTGAATTAAGCTGAAGGTGCTTAATCTTCGTATTATCCACAAAAAAAATAAATAAATAAATGTAGTTTACAGTTTTCACCAGAGTTCTACGCAGATCTTTCTTTCAAGTCGCTTGTGTCTTCCGTGAAACTTTCTAAAAGGAAACATAAATTTTATAGATACATGATATTTATTTCCACACACACAAGCTGACATATTTTACCGATGGCACTTATGTTGACCCGCACCAGCCTCCGGGATGACCAGTCCAACCTTGCAGAAATTATCGGACCAAAATATTCATCGCAACAAAAACATCAAGGACTGTAAAAGTAAAGGTATAGGAGCTTTGACACACTTAACAGAATCAGAAGCTATATACACGGAGTTAAACCCGTCCACTGCTTAGTAGTCAACTGCCGCCAAGTGGAACGGAGATAATGAATATAAACAAGACGAGAGTGTAGGTTTAAGACGTCCTCCCGGATATAAACATCTGACAGATTTGCCGGCTAGCCTTGGTCAAATTGCCTTACAGTTTACCATTGTTGTATATCTGTACTGTCTCGCTACACAGGAGAATGTACTCGTATATACTCCCACGGCCTACGTGCACTGTACTCGTATACCTACATTGTCTATTATTCATGTTGTACTGTATAACTGCATTGTTTACTGTATATACATGCCTATCCAACTGAAAACCTGTATGACAATTTTACTGAATAAATATTGTAATTATTATTCATAGCTTGTGAAGTTATGATGAAGCGACGTTTTAGCTGTGGACAAAACAACCATATTAAGGTTGCCAACCTTCTGAATACAGAGAAACAGAAAGTTGGAGCTATGGGCAGGTGAAAAGAAAGGCTGAGACATAACTTCCCTCGCGATGAAAGTAATTCTAAGAGAGTGAAAACCATTGTGTTGAGGTTTGGGAGGGGGGGGTGAGAAGGGGTCAACACAATGGCAGGAGGAAGTTACACAAGAAAATGTGAACGAGAGCGAGAGTCCTGATGCTTTGCGGTTTTGTGTTGTCTACACCACTATGACCATCCTACTATCCAATGACCACACAATGTTGTAGCAGTTTTCCAATGCTTAAGGCGCCCACAGAGAGACTATAAATAAAACTGCCATTCAAAATTCCTGCCGTAAATTTACTTGCCTCATGTAAAGAAAACATCTACAATTCAATACGAAGACCGACAAGCCTCGCATCTACACGTACCGTATAATATACGGTGCGTGTAGAGGCGAGGCTCTATATCAAGTGACAATTCTCGGTTATCATCGCGGTAGTGTATAGACAAATAGCAGATCTGATATCATGGGTAGCAGTGTTATTAGATGCTAAAAAAAAAACTTCTAAATTGATACCAGTCTCTTAAGCAGTGAATTAGATGAAGTAGTCTCCGAGACACACTTAATTATGTTTGACGCGTCTCGACCATCGGAAGTGTAGTCGTTTGTTGACATTAACATCTGACGTCAGAGACAAGTCCTTCAGGAAACAAGTGACATTGTTCTTAAAAATACCTATACTGTCATTGTTTCTTGTGAATTCTTGTGATAAAACATATATACTTTAACTTATCTGACATCCCCATCGTTTTCTCGGAGTTAAAACAAGGAATCCTAAGTTGAAGGTAAATATGAAGACAATAATGAAGAGGACAAGATAGCAGTTACCGAAAGTTCTCTTCATTGTCACCGAAAATATGATTTTTTTTTTCTTAAAACTAATTATGGATAACGGAATTTTGTGAGTTCACAATCCCCCTTTTCACTTGATTGTTATTCATGATGAAATGTAATAATATTGTTGTGGAATACTTGATGTTGTGTAAGTGTTGTTCCTTTGTATACCTCGTTTAATGCAGTATTATAACACTTGGCGCTTTTACCTCGCATTCCCTTCCATCTGGGTGTTGAGTGCAGGAGCTCCACTAACTCTAGGGTGTGTTTATCTAGTAGTGTATCCTTATATTTATTAATCCCGAAAACCAAACTACATAAAAGTTCAGTCACACGCCAGGGATAAAGGAAATGAAGTCGGTAAATCAAAGGTGGATTAAAGATTATTTATAGGATCGCCTTTGTGTTACCGTGGCCACACTGTTAATGGCTGGTCGTCAGCAATGGTGTCAGTGACTTTGACTCTACACTGACACATAATGGTGATTGGTTTATACCCTCGCTATACTGTAGCAAAAGCAATGAGATGATTGCAGCCTCATACTTCGATAACGGGTCTTCAACTGTTCATTATCTTTATTTCCTCCACGATTGACGTCACAACAGGCCTAATAATTTTAACTTCTCTTCACTTGTCAACATCAAGATGTTAAATGTGACTCTTTTTAGCACATTGACGTTAGCCTCACGCAGGTGACCGACTTAATAAACATCCAAAAAAAATTGGTGTTGCCAAATGGTCGCTGTAGAGGTAGGTAGTAGTTTCAGAATGATGGCCTCTGTAGCCGTGATCACTACTGTACAGTATATACTGGGAGTATTATAAGATGGCGATAGGTATAGATCCACGACCACCCTAGCTACCTATAATAATCAGAAGGGCGGGAGGTGGTGTTCCCAGGAGAGCCCAGCCACGGGAAATAGTATGGCGTGAGTCAAGTGTCACATCTAAACAAACGGTACTTGATTTAATATGTTTCAGGGTGAGCCCCGCTCGGTTCTCTTCTCAACTGCAGAACACTTAAAAATAATTGATAAGGTTTTGAATATAGCCGCTTCCTTTGTCTTGAGTCTGACTGGGTTGATCTTAAAACATCTTCATTGTTGGTGCTTTGTGCTTGCTATATTAATTCTACTTGGACCCTAATCATCATTTTCAATAATTCCCCTCAGAATCTTATGTTCGTGCTACATGAACTAGCTATGCATTGTAATATTAATCTGTAGGGTCGCAGCCTTAAAAGTGATTTAACGGAAGGCTGCTATAGACGAAATGTGATTTAGAATAAGTAGAAATATGGTGCATTATTCCGGTGTCCAAAGTTCAATTTTCTAGCTATCATTTTTGGGGTAGGACTCCAAATAAAACAAACCGATTGAATTTTTAAGAATAAGGATACATGAATAAAAAAAAGTACACAAACATCGTTAAATTTCTCATGTGTGGTGCTAAATATAAGTTGTCACAGCAAGGAAGTAGTTGCACTGTTTTAAGCGAGAAATAATATTGGCTGATCACCTTTCACAAAAAAAAATGAATCTATATATTTTGTAGTGCCACCTGAGTGGTATATGACGCCAGACTCTTGCCGGAAACTGACTTGTAAATATTTAAAACTCGAAGATTTGTGTGTGTGTGTGTGTGTTAATTGTCGCCTGTGGTTGTGTTGTTTCAAAGTAAACAAGTGTAACAGAAACATATGTCATATTGTCTTTAGTAGCGAGAGAAGATGGCAGGACACTACTTTACCAACAACCTCCCTGTATCACTCCTCCCCCACACCCGGTAGTTCCTCATGAATCTTGAGTGACATGAACATTCCAATAGACCGTTACATCAGAGAAAATCTTAGTATTCTTACATAAAACGACGGGGAACAGGGGTTAGACGCCTCAAATTAACTCTACACAGACACTAACTCTTGAAATTATATGATTATTTAGCTATAGGAGTTAATACATCTTGCGCAGTGTGAACAATTAACGTTTTTATTTTTTAATCCAAAGTTAACCGGGATATTCAATTACAATTAGTGCCCATGCATCTGGGTGTTGGTGGTACAGTGTAAGGCGAGTATCTCACCGTTGGCCCAAGAGTCATGTGAGCCTATACCAAACATCACAGGTTTCCTCCTGTACTGTACTAGAACGGCAAATAAGTGATGAAATAAATAAACTTATACATGACCAGTATCTACCAACAGTACGTAACTCTGACCTGCAGTCGAAGACAAGCAAGTGAAGCGTAAACGTGGGGGTGTACTGTATGACTAACCTTTCTTGACCTCGTCGTCGGTAGTGTGGTCTGACAGGGCATCGGCCTGCCTGGGTCTGGGGTATACTGGAGGGTCATATTTAGGTGTGCTGGCCTCGGGGTCCCCTTGAGTCACCACCACACACGCAGCTATCATCACCACCACAAGCACCTGACACACAGAAAGAGTATGTGACATTGCATCTAGAGATGACATATACAGTATGTCTATTAGTGGTGTAGGTCTCAAGACCGGTCTCGATTTTGGACAGCCATGGTCTAGTATTTTTGCTTGAGACCTTTCGAGGCCACTAATTGATTAGTTTAGTCTTCAGGTTTGCTGGAAGGAAGTATTCAACTGGTTCAGTCATAGTCAGGTTGGGGATATACCGTACTTCACCCCAGGTCACTATCAAGACTGCTAATTCGGTTCCTGAGTGAGTGGTCACAATAAATTTTCTTAGTCAATCCAAGTTAGGTTAGATTATTATTACAATATGATGCATTTATAATTCAGTGTGCTTTATAACCCACTTTTAACACTCATGGGGCCCTGGGCAAAAACCTCTGCTGGTGGGCCTCTCACCGTTGAACTCCTCCCAAGGACCGGCCCGACTAGACATAATCGTACAGTACACATATTATAAATAAATGGTGAAATTGTAATTTCATTGAATAGAGCAGACAAGATGATAATTGTCAAGTTTGAGTGAACTTACATATCACGCTACACCTCATACTTAAATTTCCCCCTTTTGGAGTTTCTCGCGGTTTTGAATACAGTACGTCAGTTTATCAAACATTAATTAAAAGGGGCACCGTTAATTATACACGTATAATAAATAAATAAAGACTGAAGATCAAAATAAGAACTCTAAAACTCATTTGAAAATATATCTCACCATGTTGAATTTTGGTTTATGTATTAATTGGTTGTTCCGTGTAGGTAGTCACTATTATAGCTGCTGGTCCCGCACACTTAATCTTCAAAAATCTTCGCTCCTGCAGTCGTCCGTCGCACCTCTACTCCTTATCAGCTCTCAGACCCTACTGCCGCTGAAGCCTCCGAGGTTTCCATAAATCCTCGGCCGCCGTGTACAAGAAACAAAGTGGCGGGGGGCACTTTTGTAATGTTTCGCTTCGTCGCCATCTTTGCTCGGTGCCGCCCTTCATTGTTGTTGTAGTTCAGGCGGGAAATGGCGAACAAGAGGAGCCTCGGCGGACAGAGGGGCGATACATGCCTCACAAATTGTTTTCTGCAGAGGCCCATCTCCTGTGCTTTTGTTAAAACGGTAGCAAAAATAAATCCTTCAATTGTCAGACTTCCTGCTGCCTGTTGGACATATCCTCAATGTTTAACTTGGAGATTTAAAAAAGCTTAACATTCTCCAACGAGTAAGAATTCGACGAATCATTTTTCTTCCAATTAATTTCCTGGGCGTCAACTACCAAGGTCATTTCGGCCGGGATCATTCATATCCTTTAAATAACTGTAGGTTTATTTTCCTTATTGGTATTTGGAAATGCGTCAAGTTATTTACTTAAGCAAATTATAAATATGGCAGCCAAAACTGAGGACAAAATTGGACTGACACTCGATCAAAACTAATGCGTTGCCTGTCCCCCCCCAACTAATATAAGGGAGTCCCAACTATGTGTCGATACTACCCACGTCAACGCTACACCCTCATGACCAGGGGTCAAAGCTGTACGTAAAATATTTTCCTCGAAAGTAAAAGTAGGATGGTGACTTCCGGCGTCCTTGAATTATTATTAAGAAAAGAAAACGAATTCGAGTGTGTTCCTCCGTCTTGACATCGAAGATAATAAACTCTGTTATACTTATCTGTCTGTCATAATGTAACGGGGGATAACTTACTTATCTGACTTACTTTTCCTCTTCACCTATGATCGACTTATTAGTTGGTCGGGCGGTCGGTATGGTCTCCGTTGCGCCACTGGACGTGTGCGGGCATTTTAATGTACAGGGTACATTAAAATTATCTTATGAACTGGAAGATATTATCAACCTGCTAAAATTGGCGAATGTATTGATATGGCGGCCAATTGGGATCTCCTTAAAATTAGACACCCCCGCTTATTTTACCCAAATGCTAACCTAATGCTAAAGTAACATAACCTGACGCTAAATTAACGTAACCTAACTTAACCAAACCAAACTTATCTTACCTAACCCAATCTAACTAAACCTCAAAGCCTACCCTAACCTAACTTAACCCCCTAGGTAGCGTTAGGGTGGTTTATATTCAGTTGAAATAAGTTGAGGGCGAGTTAATCTTTAGGTTAACAGCCAAGCGTGCCAGGATGTCTGTTTGTCATATCATTTTCGTATCCATGAAGTTCTTGCTGTCGCGTTTTCTTTGAGACAATTGAATGATGTCTCTTGCTTCTTGGACGAGGAAGGTCAAAGGTTAAGGTGGAGAAGGTCATAGTAGATGGGATGGTGACCACCGAATGCAAGCATGAACTTAGCATGCTTCCCTGTTGGGCGCTGTAAACGCTTCTGCGCTTCACCTTACACAAGGATGTAGGGGAGTGCCCAATAAATAAATAAATAAAAATAAATAAAGACCACCGAATGTTAGTTGACATAAGTGAAGCCAACGTTTCTTTGTTCTATTTAGGGAGTTACCTGAAGATTAAACCCCAGCTTATTTTACCAGATGATTATATACTTTGACGCTTATTTAACCTAACCATGACTAATGTGACTTCGCCTTACCTAACTCTAACCTAACCTAACCCAAAGTAAATCTAACCAAACCCAATGCTAACTTAACCTAGCTTAATTTAACCTAACCTAAAATAAAGCTAACCAAACCTAAAGATAACCTATCCTCACCTAAAGCTAACCAAACCTAAAGCTAACCTATCCTCACCTAAAGCTAACCAAACCTAAAGCTAACCTATCCTCACCTAAAGCTAACCTAACCTAAAGCTACCCAAACCTAAAGCTAACCTATCCTCACCTAAAACTAACCAAACCTAAAGCTAACCTATCCTCACCAGTCCCAACCATTGTAAAAATTATCAATAACTTGTAATAAATCAGTGTATTCACTCCCAGTATACACTACTCCTTGCACTGTCACTATGTTGAAATGAACTGTAGTTTGAGCTTTTCCCCATCTAGTTATTATATATCTTATTTGTATCACTTATATTACTTGTATATTATTTGTAATTCGTAACCCATTCCCCAAATATGTAACTGTATATTTTCAGCCTTCTGGCTGCCAAGCTCTTTCAATAAACCGTTAATTATTATTATTATTATTATTATTATTATTATTATTAACCTAAAGCTAACCTATCCTCACCTAAAGCTAACCTATCCTCACCTAAAGCTAACCTAACCTAAAGCTAACCTATCCTCACCTAAAGCTAATCTAACCTAAAGCTAACCTATCCTCACCTAAATCTAAAGCTAACCTAACCTAAACAGTATAATCTAAACTAACCTAACCTAACCAAGTCCCCATGTATCGTCAGGGTGTTTAATCATCAGGTGGGGGCTAATGCTCAGGTGATCCAATTTTTATATTGTTTTTATTTATCATTTATTTCATACTCTATCTTTCTTTTCTTCCAAGTGTAATTTTGTTTTTCGTTTTTAATTCATTACTTCTCTAGTTGTTGGGCGACATTGATAGCCTCTTGTGGTTCTCTCAGAGCTAACACTTCCCCTCTTGGCTGTCTCTTGCACCAAGACTCTTCTCACTCCTTACTGTCTACACCTATTCCTTCCTCTCCATCCTTCTTCTCTCCCATTCTCCCTGCCTCTTCCTCCTCTCCCTGTTTCCACTCCTCTCCCATAACCCCTCCTTCTCTCTCCCACCTATTCATCCCTCTCCCATTATCTTTTCTTCTACCCCACTCTTCCCACCTCTTCCTCCCCCTCTCCTTCTCTTTCCCACTCCCTCTCACCCCACCACACTCACACTCACACAACAGTTGATGAGGTGGCAGGAGCGACGACCCGGTAGCCAGCTTTGTCGCCTCACCATCTTATTGTTTGAGTTACTGGACTTTTTCTCATTGCTTGTACACGTTGTTTTAGTCTGCAAAGATTCCCATTTTCTTTTGTATCAGCTGATGGATTGTTTTGGTTCGGAGAATAAGAAGTCTTCATTATCCTCTCTGTCTCTTTTTCTCTCGTTCTTCGCCTTTTTTCTCCTCTTCTTCCTCTCCCCCCCCCGCCCCCCCTCCTTGGAATGAAGAGTGACATCCCGGGAATAAATTTCTTTTCTAACAACTTGCAAAAAATAGCTCCACTATATATTGAATAAAAGTATTGCTTATGTACACTTATTTCATCATCACATCGATTGACACTCCTCTATGCTTGTCTAATATTGTGTTTGAATGTTGTGGTAGTGTGTGTGTGTGTCTGTGTACACACAGGGTGGTGTAATGCGTATAGTTTGGCAGCATTATGTTAGTGTTAAGGTGCAAGCGCTGCTTGCTCCTTCTCGCTTTCAGCTACCGCCACTGGCTAGCCCTTGTGGTGAACAGGGAAGCAACTTGCACAAGTCTTCGCCTGCCAGTACACAGTCTCTTCACCATCAAGAGCGCTGCTGAGCCTTCTCGTGGTAACACACGGTAACTGGGTGCATCGTGGGCCCAGGCTAGACCAGCAGGGGATCTCAGAGCAGCAATGGGCCCCAGAGGGACGGCACATAGGCCCACTGGCATGTGGACACATCCTGACGCCTACCAACCACTGCCCTGCTGCCTTGCGGATTAACCTTGGTAGGTATAAGGCGGTATAGGCGGAAGAGGTGACCAACATGGGAACCCAAAGAGTATACCGGCGGATGAAGGCAATGCATAACCGACAGGGTACTAAGGCGAAACCCAAGAAACTGGGCTATCGGCAGTCCATTGCAACTCTCCCTCTCCCCAGTCCTTGTAACAAATGCACAACTGGATCAGGAAAAGGGAGAGCCAAGATGTGTGGTTGCAGCCTGCGCTCCTGCCTCCCCACATAAATCAACTCCTGCTTAGCCAACATCTAGCTCATTATACTTCACATCATCATCAAACCCTTATACCCCCAAAAGTCCTGTGGCGACGGGGACAGGCAGAGATGACTGCCGGGAGTATCTATTTACAACTCTGCACAGGGCCGGCATAGATAAGATGGTCGTTTATGCACTGGAATCTAGGCAGCAGTGCAATCTGGTCCTGTCTGTGGGACTGAGCAGCCCTCTCGAAGACAAACTCTGCTCACCCCACATGGGGAGGGGGCGAGAAAAGGTGCCCTAAACATAGCCTGCCTAAAGAAAGAACCAACCTGACTGGGCAACCGCACCCAATAAGGTCATCCTTATGCAGTCGAAAACACAATCACAATTACAGATCAAAACAAAAACTATACAACCTCTTATGGTCGCTGCACGGAATGTCGGAACCCTCCTGGCACAAATGAGTGTCCTGAAAGAAGAATTGCCCTTGTGGCAAAAGAGTTGGCTAGGTATGACATCGACAAAGCAGCCATTGGTGATTCCAAGCACCCAGACGAGGGTCAACTCAGAGAACTGGGGTCTGGCTATACCCTCTTTTGGAAGGGTAAGCCTGCTATGGAGAGAAACCGCATTTAGGGAGTTGGCTTTGCCATCCGCCAATGCATCCTGCATAGGTTAACTGAAATGCCTGTTGGGATCAACAAGCATCTCATGACGCTCCGCTTCCCACTGAATCACTCGCGTCATGCCTTTTTCATCAGTTCATATGCCCCAACACTTGTTGCAGAAGATAACATCAAGGGAGGCCTTTTATGCTGACCTTGACAGAGTGCTAACCTCTATCCCCAGAGAAGATAAGGTTGTGCTCCTAGGTGACTTCAATGCCAGAGTTGACAGAGTTGCTGACATTTGGCAGGGAATCATAGGGAGAAATAGACTAGGCAAGTGTAACCCTAACGGCCTTCTCCTCCTCACTATCACCAATACCTTGTTTAGGCAAACCGACACATTCAAGGGTTTGTGGCAACACCTATGATCCAAACACTGACATCTCATTGACTACATTATTGTCAGAGAAAGAGATCGCCGACAGGTCTTCATCACCCGAGCCATGCATGGCTCAGACTATTGCGACACTGATCATTGGCTCGTTAGACCCAAGCTCTCACTTCACGTTGCCCCAAGTTGGCGAAGACAACAAGCCTCCAGAAGAGGTTTTAACACTAAACGTTTGGAGGATCCAGCGGTAGCACATGCCTTCAGAGAGCAGCTCGAACAGGGGCTGATAAACAATCCGACAACAAACAACCCAAATCCCAGCGCCTAATGGGGTGTTCTCGACACTGTAGTGACAAAAACCTGCAGAGACCCTCAGCCAGTTTTAAAGAATACACTAGGACTGGTTTGATAAAAATGACCCGGAAATCAATGTACTCGTCAATGATAAACGTGCTGCTTTAAATGACTGGCAGAACTTCCATCAGTCTCGAACCAAAGCTGATATCCTCCACAAGAAGAAAGCAGCGGCCCAGGGCGAACTTTGCAATCTAAAGAATGATTGGTTTAAAAATAAAGCATGTGAAACGCAAAAACTTGAAGATCAGCACAAGATTGGCGAATTTTTCAATTCCACTAAAACATTTTATGGGCTAATCACTCTTGGTGCAGCCCCTCCTCTGCTCATCTTTTATTTATTTAATTATTTATTTATTTTTACGGGGATTAGTCCACCCAGGCACAGGTCACTGACCCACATCGGGGCCTGGAGATTATATGGGAAAAGGGGAAAGATGCCTCCATCATTAATATTTATAAGAACAAGGGAGACCGGTCAGACTGTGGCAACTACCTTGTATTTCGCTGATGTCCGTAGCTGGCAAGATTATTGCCCAAGTGCTCCTAAACAAACTTCTTCCTGAGGTGGAAAACTTCCTCCCAGAATCTCAATGTGTCTTTAGACCATCACGTGGCACTACTGACATAATCTTTGTTGTCCTTCAAATACAGGGAAAAGTGCAGAGAACAGCATCTTGACCTGTACATGGCCTTCATCAACCTAACCAAAGCCTTCGACTCGGGGAACAGGGAAGCCCTCTGGCGGACCCTCAGCCATTTTGGCTGCCCCCCAAAATCCATTGCCATTGTGAAGCAATTCCACGATGACATGAACGACAGTGTCCAACACAATGGCATCCAGTCTAAGTTCTTCCCCATCCAAAAGGGGGTAAAACAAGAATGTGTACTATCACCAACTCTTTTTCCATTTTCTTGGCTGCCTCCCTTACTGGTGCCAGTGCCAATTTAGCTGGTGGGGTGGACATCCAGTACCGGATGAAGGGTCTTTTCAATATAAGACGACCCCAGGCAGGAACAAAGGTGTCTACAGCTTCCATTACTGAACTTCAGTATGCAGACGACCTCACCCTTGTCGCTCACACTGAACGTGATCTACAGGAGATCTTGAACACCTACGCAGATGCTTATGCACACTTCGGCCTCGAGGTGAATGTACGTAAGACTCAGATTCTCTTTCAGCCTGCCCCTGGTTCAGCCACACCTCCACCATCCATCCAGCTTAACGGCACTACCCTCTCTAATGTTCCCCACTTTCGGTATCTCGGCGCCCACCTGTCCACCACCACGGACATCGATGAAGAGATTCAGCATCGAATCAGATATGCATCTCAAGCCTTTGGCAGACTCTAAAACCGTGTCTTCAGCTGTAGGGAGCTAAAATTATCTAGAAAGTTGCACGTATATCGAGCAGTGGTCCTCCCCACCCTGCTATATGGCAGCGAGACATGAATCACATACAGGAGGCACCTCAAGGCACTTGAAAACTTTCACCAACATAGTCTATGTTCCATCCTCCGAGTTCGCTGGGAATACAAGAGAACAAATGCCAGTATTCTTGCTGACACCAACTGTAAGAACATCGAGGCTACCATTAGTCTTAAAGACAAACCTGAAAAAGCGCCAAATCGACCCTCACCTGGGAGACGATTACTCCACATCGTAACGCTTGGAGGAGCACCACATGAGAAGGTATCAATACTTTCGAGTTATCCCGACTACAAACTGAGGCAGACAAGCACCAACACCGGAAAGACGCTGCCGCCGCCCCTCCCGCACTCGATGTAACCCTCCACCTGTGCAACACATGTGAACGACCTTGCCGGTCCCGTATCGGCTTCTTTAGTCACCTCAAAAATCACCAATGAAGGTGACAGCCCTAATAACTCGTATCATTATATCATAACTGGATGATCGTCATACTCGATTTCGAGTGATAGCAAAGTAGTAGTAGTAGTAGGTACTGAAGCCGAAATAAGAATTATCACAAGTTCACAACTTCCTCAGATAACTGGTAGATAACACACGAGCAACCAACAGGACTAAGACAATCCTAATGTGAGGAAGTTATTTATTTTCTGGTAATAAAGAGACTTATGGAGAATCTTAATTGATAAACTGGTTGAAAATAAGTTTTATTTGTTTATAATTAGGAAAGAAGTGATGGCAAAATGTGACACCTTAATAAAGTAATGAATATTATTCATGTTAGTGGTGGTAGGAATAGGAGTAAACTGACGACGTAGAAAACTGATCGTTTTCCTCTCGATGACTTGAAAGAGATGCTAAGTTTGTGAAAAGAAAGATATCAGGGGTTAATTTTTTTTATATACATTATTGACCAGTAAGACTATGTGGCATAATTTCTGAATAGTAATATGTAAATTGATTAGTAAGCTTAAAACTATAAGTACTGTACAGGATATGATACTCTGTCACCGTAACCTTTACTTAGCTACTAAATATTTATGAATGTCACACATTAATGCTTCTTACGGAGACGTGACCGGTCGTCCAAGCGGCTAACGAGCCAATCAGTGGTGAAGAGGATAAAAGTAAAAAAGTAAAAGTACACAGGTTATTACTACATGCTGGTTTCATCAGACGTGACAGTACGCTGCAGGATGGATGAAAGATTCAATCGACGGTGTCCTGCAGGATACCTGAGGACTTAACGAAGACGTTCAGGACGCACTGATGAATATGGTGACCGGATAAAACCCTAACGGACAAAACCCCAGTCTCATATATAAAACATTTTTATGTTTAGGTTAGGTTAGGTTAGGTTAGATTAGTGTTGATAAATGACAACCCCGTTGGGGTTTTGTCATGGAACCGATGAATATACATGGTGGAGGACGTGACCATCAAACTGGCACAATATAACTCTTCACATTACATTGTGGACGTACGGAACATCTTACGTTGATGACCTTCAAGAATAGACTGTAAAGGTTTCACAAACTGTGAAGGTATCACGAACTTCAACAGTGTTTAAGTGTGTTTTAAAGTTTTGATAAATATTGTGTTGGCGTAAAGTTTGGCCAGATTGGTTCTCAGTGAGCACCAGCAATGAGGTAAAAGTCACATAAGCATCGTCAGCTATTGTCTTCCTGTTATTTTTCTTGGTCAGTCACTCCACCATCACATTACATCTCACACGAACGATTCTCATCTGGACAATCGTCTATTTTATGCGATTTAACCTAACCTTGATACAAATTGCATATAGTATAGGGATCCGCTAGTCCATTAGTGTTCTAAGAACAATTATCTTCTTTTTTTTTAATGTGTATATGAGGCGCCGAGGTTTTGTGAGTTAAATTTGTGTTGAAGGGCATGGCAGCGTTAGACGACCCTTGTATACAGTACACGATTGTCCTGTGGGCAGGTGAGGTATCTAAGACCTGGTGGCCGGGAGCACGAGAGAGTCAACAATGGACAGGACGACAAAAAAGGTGGTAGCCACGGGGCCAGAGGGTCGGGAAGCCCCGGAGGTCACCTCACAGTGGGGAGGAAAGTGAGGACTTGCATTATCAGAAGTTCGTAGCCTGTTCGTGATATAAAAGCAGGACGTGAGAAGGTCAATGAGGAGGAAGAGTGGACGTCCAGTTCAGGCGCCCTAGACATGGAGGGCCACACACTGGTGACGGCCCCCATTGTGCCAATACCTATTCTTTTGCTCTCCTCCCCCCTCCTCCTCCCTTCTACCCTTTACCTGAGTCCCTTCTCCTCCTTCCTCCTATCCTTCACCCGAGTCACCCCATCCTCATATCTTCAACCCTTTCTCCTCCTCCCCCTTCTCCTCTGGTAGCGTTGAGGATCTGAGGACACAAAACCAGGCACGTGTTGTGACTCCCTATGTCGTCATCGTCCAGGACTGCTCACAACACCAGCAGTGACCAAGTACTTGTACATGCGGAAATTCAGTAAGATATTTTGGTCTGGTGATCTGGTAAGAGACGAGAGTTTGCCAAGTTTATGCAGGGATATTTCATATATGTTTGTCATGTTATATATTTAATTGCTACAGCTCTTATTTACATTAACATTTCTATCTATTAGTTAATAATCATTATTTTTTATTGCTTCTGTGTTTATTTTACACTTTTTAAGTAAGAAAGGAAGACGGTAATGCGAACTTATCGTACTTTATGTGGTAGATTAGATTCTATTAGAGATGTACACTTAATTATGTCATCGCTTGAACACCTTCACTGCACTCGAGCGATGTTTCACCACAGGCCGGTTAATGTCTTTCATAGCTGTGACTTTCACCTCTTACCTCATAGACGTAGTAGCTCCAGGTGCTCTTGTTTATTTGGAGTTCTGCTGCTGAAGTCAGACACATAAACATAAGATCATATGAAGATGTAGCCACTCCAGCTTATTTCACGCAATGATTTAACACCCTAACGCTATCTGGGTGTTGGGTTATGTTAGATTAGGTTAGTGTTAGGTTAGGTTAGTGTTAGATTAGGTTAGGTTAATCTTATCGCGAAATAAGCTTAGGATTAATCTTTAGTTGATCCCATATTAGTGTGTATTAACTCAAGTGTTCGCTGGCCGGATTGTACGCTATGTTAGTTCATGTATGGTTAGAGTCTGGCAGCTGCCCAGGGCACTCAGTAGTGCCTCCTGCCTGCCTCTCATCACCTGCCTCACCTCGGCTGTGTTTATCACAGGTATTTTGATATAGTTTCGTCTCAATTTGACGACGGACCACTTTATATATTCACCTTCATAATCACGAAAATAATTTTCATATGTCTAGGATATGGTGAAGAGTGAGGGCGGACAATATCAATGTCAAGTTGTCTAAACGCCGCTCCCTCATTTTCTATTGAAGATAAACACAGGCAGAGGCATTATGTCACTCCTGGGTTTGTGCCGTTGCAGCGCGTGAGCCAACATATATTATAATCCTCTCACACCCCGGCCTTATACTGTACATAAGAACTTCATTACGATAGTGTTGTTACAGTTACTCATGGTAGTGATGAAAGACACGGAGGAGGGAAGCAAGAAGTTAAAGTTCATAACTTTCCCACGAAAATGATTGTTTTGAGCGTCTTTTACATAAATTTTCCGTGGTGGAGGAATTTAAGTTTAGGGTCGACATCTGGCGATATTTTAGGTGGAAATTTAGGATAACAAGAAGATTAAACACCCTATGTAACGTTAGGCAGCTATCAAACAGGGAGGTACTACCGCCTGGGAAGATATTGGAAGCATCATGTGTTGTCTAATGGTAGACCCTGCTGCCATATGGCATCACGAAAATTGTGACCAAGTCCCAGGTTGCTGATCTGACTTTCTGCCTCATTTACACACAATTGCTGGGTCTCAATTGTTTTTCTTACTTTGGCAACACAACATACATATATCGTTTCCCACTCTTGATATTTATTTTATTTTATTTATGGCTCTTTATTTTTAATATTATTATTATTATTATTATTATTATTATTATTATTGGTATTATTATTATTTATAATTAAAAAAATATTAATATTATTTTCTTTTATTATAATTGTTATTTATTTTTGTATATTTGTATTAATTTTATTACTATTATTATCAGTATTATTATCATCATCATCATAATTATTATTATTATTTTATTATATTTTCGCCCCCCACTTGTGCCCAGGTGGGATAATGCCCGTAAAAAAAATAAGCTGGAGTGTCTACAGTAATACTCAAATTATCCGAAAATTATCTGAAGAACAAGTGCTTCAACCTGAACAGAGAGGAGCTCTTCATAACAACCCTTACCTTACCTTACCTCACCTCACCTTACCTCACCTTACCTTACCTCACCTTACCTTACCTCACCTCACCTTACCTCACCTAACCTCACCTCACCTCACCTCACCTCACCTTACTTTACCTTACCTCACCTTACCTAACCTCACCTTACCTTACCTTACCTTACCTTACCTTACCTTACCTTACCTTACCTTACCATATCCTCTTCGCCATTTGTCAATTTACTAGCAGGTTGGGCTGTTAAGAACATAAGAACATAAGAAAATACGGAGTCTGCAATAGGCCGGTTGGCCTGTGCAATGTGCATGGCAGCTCCTGTCGAGAGTTACTACCACTCTCTATCATCCATGAATCCATCCAGCCTCCTTTTGAAACTTTCCAGCGTTCCAGCACTTACTACAAAGTTGCTAAGCTTGTTCCACTCGTCCACCACCCTATTTGTGAACCAGTTCCTTCTTATCTCCCTCCTAAACCTAAACTTATCCAACTTAAATCCGTTGCTTCGAGTCCTATCCTGCTCGGATATTATAAGAACTGTATCTATATTTCCTCTATTGATTCCTTTCACCCACTTAAATACTTCTATCACATCTGCCCGCACTCTTCGTCTTTCTAGGGAATGCAAGTTTAGTTTCTTTAACCTATCCTGATATGGAAGGTTTCTAAGTCCCGGAATCATTTTCGTCATTCTACGCTGCACCGACTCTAGTGAATTAATATCCATTCTATAATAAGGGCACCAGAACTGAACCGCATAATCGAGGTACGGCCTGACTAGCGCAAGATATAGTTGCACACGGATGACATACTGTACTGGGCATGTACTGCATACGGACTCTTGAAGATAACAGTGACAAGGTGTTTCTCCTCTTGGCGTCTCCTCCGCTTGTGACTAAAACCTCACCCAAAGAACCCAGTACGAATTTTGGATGTATTGAAAAAAAGTAAATGTTTAATGTGGCGTGATTTTCTTCGTTCTAGATCTTTGGAGGCGGGGTTTTGTCCGGTATGAAAGAATGTGATGGGATTTTGTCCGTTTTTGTATTTTTGGGGTAGGATTTTGTCTGGTATGAAAAGATATGGTGGGATTTTGTCCGGTAGCAAAAATGTCTGACGGGAATTCTCTTTTTCGAGCGTGAAAGTTTCCGGTGAGGTTTTTATTGGTGAAAGTTTCTCTGTCGTCCACACTCTCTCTCTCACCTGTCGTCCACACCCCCCTCTCACCTGTCGTCCACACCCCTCTCTCACCTGTCGTCCCACCCTCCTCTCTCACCTGTCGTCCACACTCTCTCACCTGTTGTCCACACCCCTCTCTCACGTGTCGTCCAAACTCTCTCTCACGTGTCGTCACTCGCTCTCTCACCTGTCGTCCACCTCCCTCTCTCACCTGTCGCCCACACCCCCCTCTCTCACCTGTCGTCCACCTCCCTCTCTCACCGTCGTCCACACCCCTCTCTCTCACCTGTATCGTCCACACCCCCCTCTCTCACCTGTCGTCCCACACTCTCTCACCTGTTGTCCACACCCCTCTCTCTCACTTGTCGTCCAAACTCTCTCTCTCACGTGTCGTCCACACTCGCTCTCTCACCTGTCGTCCACCTCCCCTCTCTCACCTGTCGCCCACACCCACTCTCTCACCTGTCGTCCACACCTCCCTCTCTCACCTGTCGCCACCCCCCTCTCTCACCTGTCGTCCACACCCCTCTCACCTGTCGTCCACACTCCCTCCTCTCACCTGTCGTCCACCTCCCTCTCTCACCTGTCGTCCACACCCCCTCTCTCACCTGTCGTCCACCCTCTCTCACCTGTCGTCCACACCTCCCTCTCTCACCTGTCGTCCACACTCTCTCACCTGTCGTCCACCCCCCTCTCTCACCTGTCGTCCACACACCTCTCTCTCACCTGTCGTCCACACCCCCTTCTTCACCGGTCGTCCACCCCTCTCTCACCTGTCGCCCCACCCCCTCTCTCACCTGTCGTCCACACCCCCCTTCTTCACCGGTCACAACCCCGTTCACTGGAGGCTCTTATGACACCGTAATCACCAAAAAGGCATTAGACTTATTTTAAGAATCATTAAACACAACAGCCCAAGTCTTAGTGTGACGCGTAACATTAACCTCAGTGTAAGATAATTAACCAATCATGCTAGTTATTGTTATTGTTAATTATTATTATTATTATTATTATTATCATCATTATCACAATAAATTATCATTAATATCATCATTATCATCATTATTATCACCAGTATCATCACCATTATCATCATTGACATAATTAACATCATTATCATTGTCGATATTGACCACCACCAGGTGAGCGAAGATGGCGGAGGCTGGAGGTAGACAGTGGCAGTGTTTCCTGGCCACACCTGGGGAGCGTCTCGCTTACCTGCGCCACTCTGGCCACCTGTCTGATATCACCCTCACCTTCCCTGGCCACCACACTATCATTCAGGTAAACACAACACCACCATAGGTCTACAGGTAAACACCACACCACCATAGATCTACAGGTCAACACCACACCACCATACAGGTCAACACCACACCATCATAGGTCTACAGGTCAACACCACACCACCATAGGTCTACAGGTAACCACCACACCACCATACAGGTCAACACCACACCATCATAGGTCTACAGGTAAACACCACACCACCATACAGGTCAACACCACACCACCAAGGGTCTACAGGTCAACACCACACCACCAAGGGTCTACAGGTCAACACCACACCACCAAGGGTCTACAGGTCAACATCACACCACCATACAGGTCAACACCACACCACCATAGGTCTACAGGTCAACATCACACCACCATACAGGTGAACACCACATCATCATAGGTCTACAGGTCAACACCACACCACCAAAGGTCTACAGGTAAACACCACACCACCATAGGTCTACAGGTCAACACCACACCAAGGGTCTACAGGTCAACACCAAACCATCATACAGGTCAACCCCACACCATCATAGGTGTACAGGTCAACACCACACCATCATAGATCTACAGGTCAACACCAAACCATCATACAGGTCAACCCCACACCATCATAGGTGTACAGGTCAACACCACACCATCATAGGGCTACAGGTCAACACCACACCATCATAGATCTACAGGTCAACACCACACCATCATAGGTCTACAGGTCAACACCACACCATCATTCAACACCACACCACCATACAGGTCAACACCACATCACCATACAGGTCGACACCATACAGGTCAACACCACACCACCATACAGGTCACCACACTACACATAGGAGACGGCTTGAAGGAGGAACTTAAACTGCTAGGAGATAAAAGGTGTTGAAGTGTCATTATAAAAAGCAGTAATAATTTTATAATGCCGTTGCTGTCACCCTAGATTATAAATTTGGTTAGATTGGGTTAGGTTAGGTTAGGTTAGATAGGTTAGGTTAGGTTATATCAAGTTGGATTTAGGATAGGTTAGGTTATATCAAGTTGGATTTAGGATAGGTTAGGTTATATTACGTTGGATTGGGTTGTCAGTGTTAAATCTTCATTTGATCCGATTATGATGGATTGTCAAGCACTGTAAGATAAATATATCATTTATAATTAGGATTTTATAACGCATTTTTTGTTTTGTTTTACAAGAGTTTTATTTCATCATATCCACGTGTTTAGTGTTAACATGTTTTATAGAGGAAACATTTGCTGAGTCTCTTGTTTATATAAATACTGTACGGGAGACGGAGGAGACTGCTTATATCTCACTTTGTACAGCGGGTTAGCTCAGTGGCAACCCGAGGTGGTATTCGCCAATTTGAAAATAGTAGTTGTAGTACAGTAGTAGTGGTGGTAGTAGTAGTAGTAGATGGTAAGTGGTGCAGTAGTAGTAGGAGTAGTTATAGTAACAGCAGCAGCAGCAGCAGTAGTAGCAACGCAGTATTAGTGTTATAAGTGATAGCTTACCAATGTCATGAGTCCAGCTTATGTTAGCCAGGTACACATATCACCCCTTCCTCCCCTTCCAGGCCCACCGCTGGGTGCTGGCCATGAGCTCTCCTGTGTTCGAGGCCATGCTGTACGGGCCGCTGGCTGAGGGAGACGTCCTTGCCTTGCCGGAGGATCCACCTGACGCTTTCGAGTGGCTGCTTGACCATTTGTACCTAAACCACACCCAGCTGCCGGGGGTGCAGCTGGCTCTACAGGTGTACCATCTGGCTGCCAAGTACCAGATGGATCCTCTGTGCCAGCTGTGTTCGCAGGTGAGACGCCCAGATGGTCATCCACGGTAGCCGTATTGGATTCTGGCTCTGGTATATGCGCTTGTTAGTGCCAGCTATATACATCTGTCAGTGGCAGGTAGTAGCTAAAACAACTATCTGTGCAGGTGGGGTCGATATGCTCCGAAATTTTATGTGACTAGTGACAGCCCTCATATACCAAAATTTATCGTCCATGGTCTCATAGTGTTTCCCACAAAGTATGCACAGATAATTGTTTTAGCTACTGTACATTTATTAAAGCCAGATACAATTATTAGTGCCAAGTATATACATGTCAGTGCCAGATACACTTACTAGTGACAGATATACACGTCTATCAGAGCCTGATATAGGCATCCATCAGTGCCAGATATGAACATCTATTAGTGCCAGATAAAACATGGCACAGTAAACATTCACTCGAGTCAGTTTTATTTGTCAGCTGATACCAAGAGATGGTACAAAATCCAGGTGCTTGTGCTGCCCGTATCTGACAACAACGGCTGCAGGTGTGGCCGTCAGCTGTGTTAAGTATAATCCGTGCGTGTCTGATCAAGACGTTGAAGTTAACTCCATATGTTATGAAGCTACCTAACTTCGACTGCTCCTGAAGTTAACAGATTTATTTAAATGTACAAGACACGTACACATTTACACCAAGCTGGGGCGTGTGTGTGTTTTATTTGTTTGTATGTGAGAGAGAGAGAGAGAGAGAGAGAGATCTGTTGTTATATTGTTAATTGTATACAGTCTATAATGCACAGTGTTACGTTAATCTCGTTTTTCTTCTATATCTCCTCTAGTACTTGGTCCGAGAGGTGACACCAAATACCTTCCCGGGAGTGTACGAGGCTGCCGTGTTGCTGGACGACACTCAGCTGCTGGCCAGGTGTGGGCAGGTGAGTGCCGGCTCCTGCTGCCTCCCTCCCTCTGTCCCTCCCTTACGCTGGTGGTGGTGTGTGAAAGTTAGGTTAGGTTGTGCCTAAGTCTTTATCCACACATAGATAGATAGATAGATAGATAGATAGATAGATAAAGTTAGTTAGAAAGAGAGAGGTTAAATTAGATCAACATGTCATTCCAAAATCAGGATAATACTAGATAATCACGTAAAAAATTCCGCCCTGCAACGAGTAAAAAGGGTTATGAGAAGAAAACTTGCATGTCACACAATTATAATAATCCTATGTAGCAGCGGTCAGCCAGAAAACTGTTTTGGTGATTAGTCGTTAAATCATAAAGTCATGACTGTGAAGTATGCATGATACTAGTCGATGTGGTTGAAATATATAATAAGGAATATAATGTCACTTACCAAGTTTTCAACAATTATTGGGTATTACCACTATATGGTATACTGTATATCTAATACTCGAGAAAGGTAAAACAAAAAACTCATAAATGGTTCCAAGAATGCACGAGTCAGCTGGAACCACGCTAAACAGTGACTGGCCAGTGTTCTCTTCTGCAGGAGTTGATGGTGTCCTCAGACGACGTTTTAGTGTCCCGGGACATAGGCGTGTTGGGCCGCGCCTCCCTCCGCCACCTACTGCACCACCACCAGCTCGCAGCCTCGTCTGAAACCTTCGTGTTCCGTGCGATTATCACTTGGTGAGAGTGTAATTAGAACAAGAGTTTCCAGCCATTTTTTCCTATTTTCTACCCCCGCCCTGATGAATTACCCGTTATAACTAGCACCTCCATAATTAGCTTTCGCTGAGAGTTGGTTAACTAAATCTTAGTTTTTGAGGTGTTGATTCATGCAAAAAAGAAAAAGAAAAAAGACAATGTTTCATCAAACCCAAAATTTACGTGTAATAACATTTTGGCAATTTATTCCTGAAACAGAAACATACTCCTGACTTTACAGAACCTTCCGGTATGTTTATTCGAACCAGTTATTTAACATTATTTTAGATAATAACAGGTCTGCTTATCAATTGTGAACACATTTAGTTTTAATTTTCTATGAACCAATCAGCTATTAGTACAGAAGATGGCCAGGTTAGCGTGGAAATACGATAGTATTGTGTTTGATTTATAATTTAATAATTTTAGTCTCCAAAATTTACTTTAGAAATGATGGATAATCCCTACATGTATGTATCTGTAATCTTAAATCTTTGTAGACTGATGTCAAGTATCTTTTTCTTTACTCTTGGTCCAGGGGTCGGGAGCAAGTTAGAATGAGAGGTGAGGGAGGAGCACCCAGGACCCCTCACTCTAACTATCCGCCACCACCACCACCGCCGAAAGTCTCCTCACAAGTGTCAACACCCACACCGGGCAAGGACGAGGACCCGACCATAAGTCTAAGTAGTAAAGTGAATCAGTTTCTGCCCCAGGTGAAGATGAGTGATCAGGAAGCAACAACTATGAGTTGTATTCAGGTCACGGGTGAGTGTGATGTTGCAGTGAACATGGACTTGCAGCACAAGATACCCTCAGTCAAGGGAGAAACCGTCCCCCTGAGGCAGCATCAGTGGGTGGCAGGCGAGGAAACCACCGGCAGAAGCCTTCGGAAGGTAGTTGATGAGTTCTTGCCTCAGGTTCGCTTCCTCACTATGAAGACGGACGAATTTGTGGAACACGTGCTTCCATCTGGTGTCCTGACCAGCGATGAGAGTGTTGCAATACTCATGAATATTAAAAATATTCCTAATATTCCCCTGCCAAGGTTTGCAGCAACGAGTGCCAGAGACAAAAGAAAGAGCAAATTAAATTCTGCAAATCTCTTGTTTTGTCAGCATCACTACGCCAGCAATGACCAGGAAATACTTCGTGACTTTCAAGTGTCCACAACAATATATGTAACCCAGCTGACGGCTCCCGGTGTGACCAGTGTGAAAGACACCATCGTGAAGGTCCTCTCAGCGACTACTTTAGTGGAGGAGGGCCGCTGGCAGGGTATTGGCTGCAGGTTTGATCACCCCGTCAAACTGGTGGTCGGTGAGACTTATTCAGTGGTGGTGGAGGGGGGGTACGGGCCATGTGCAGGGTGCGAGTGTAGGGTGACGAGTGACCATAATGGTACACAGTTCAGCGCCAAGACTCTGGGCCTCACTCCTGTCTTTCTCGAGTACTGGGAGGTCGTTTAGGCACGACATCTCTTCAGTAATATTTGAGTCTTACTCAGCGTTTCCTCAAATTGAGAGAACACCCTCAACGCTCCCCTCCCCTCTCCTATCTCTCTCACCCGCCATTTTTTTTATACTGGGAGACTTTATAGATAGTACCTGCCCTCCAGGCCTAGTAACACTTCAATCCTCTACAAGTACTGGCCTCGGACTGCCATACCACGGTCTCCCATCTTAGCAGCCATTATACGCGTTTATCGTTTCTAGTCTGCAGATTTATGCTTATTGTTAATATTACGGTTATTGGAACTTTTATCCTTGTGTAGTACAGCTGTTAAGAAATATTGTGAAGCTTTGATAAGCCCGCCATCGTCAGTATTACTGTCCACTGTCCATAAAACGGGTCACTTAAAAATTATTCTCCCGGCTTTCTTATTTCACCTTAAGATTAAACTGCCTTAACGCTAACCTAACCTTACCCCCCCCCCCCCCTGGTAGCGTTTGAGTGTTTATTCATTAGATGGAAATTAAACTAGGAGCAATCGTCATGTGACCCCGTAAAGCCAGTATTGTTTGTCATGTTATGTTTCTTGCCAGGCCATCATTGTTTACATCAACACAGCACAAAAAATGTCGCTCACATGTAATGCTTTTACTGCTCTAATAAATTTTAATCTACATTATAAATAAAACTTAGAATGTAATTACTCTTATCAACATTGCATTCATTACGTGTACGATATGACATGACAAATAATTGAAAAAGGTATACTGAAACTACTCAAAAGTTGTTTTCTATCGAAGACTACAGCAGTCAGCAAGACTGGTGAGCGGCAAAAGTTGCGCACTCGGAAACAAAATATAGTATATCATGAAACGAAATATACACTTAGCATCTATGATACTGTACCTGATTTTTTTAGTTCTTGTTCTTGAGATTCTCTTTAAGCTCGCTACCACAACATATGTTTTTTTTTCTATCGCAAGACTTTACTTATTTTACCCAGCAGTGGTTAACCTGAGGGCCTCGGCGGCCCATCAAGGTTCAGAGTTGATTATATTATTGTCCTTGAGTACATAAATACTATAAAATTTATTCTGTAAAGTAGGCACAAACAAATGTGTGGTTATGTTGATAACAATCGGTATTGTGAATTATCAGCACAATATACTTCATCTACTTAAGGTTGACCGTTATATATATATATATATATATATATATATATATATATATATATATATATATATATATATATATATATATATATATATGCTGATAACCACAAAGAAACAAGAAAACACAAAGTTCCCAAGCGCTTTCGTGTAATTCAGAGGTGAGTACAGACTAAGGAGTAATACTTGACAAGGTTAATATATACAGTAGAGGAGAGTGAGATCAAGTCCCTAGGGGACAGCAGGTGTCCACAATGTTCCGGTCATAAGGCAGTGACCCAACCATTACTAAATAAAAAAATTGACCATGCCATCTCTAAGCAGCTGTCCGTAGTTAGGCCCTAGGGTAAGATGACCCAACCCTCTCACCTGGTTACAAATCTTCTTAATCACAAAATTATCCAGTTTGTACATACCATTACTCAAATTCATGTTGACAGATTAGGTATGTTTAATGAGACTGGATTCTATAATGTTCCTACTGACAATTGAATTGCAAGGTAATATTGAAGAGGCATTATCCCAGTCAATGCAATGCTTATTATCTCTCATATGAATGAACAGAGCATTGGATTTCTGGCCTGTCCTAAAACTATATTTATGCTGTTTAAGTCTAGTTATAAGATCTTTACCCATCTGGCCTAAGTAGAACATCTTACATTCCTTGCAAGGAACCTTGTAAATGCAGCCCAGTACTTGCCAACAGTGTGTAACAGAGACGTGACCGATCGCCCAAGCGTCTAACGAACCGATTCAGTGGTGAAGAGGATAAAAGTAAAATGAGACTACTAGCTCATTTTAATTGACTGAGTTTTCAAAGACAAGAATTATATTGATTTCAAGTTTCAGGATGGCAGTTCCTGGTGGGCGGGGCGTAGGACAGAGGATCTCGAAATACTTCCCGTTAGATGGTAAAGGTAAGGAGGCTGACACTTCCCTTCAGAATAATTAATGAGTTTCTAAACTAGATAATTGATAATACTTTCGATACAAATATCATATTCTCTGATGTTCACTGATAAACAAGAGGTAACTTCAGCATTAGCTAGCAACTTACAGCGTTTCTAGGGACGATGTCAATGATACCTCATTCTCCCATTAGACTCTACCCTGATTTATATTGAAAATTTGAAGCTTTAAAACTCAGTGAAAAAGGATCTCAAATACTAAATCTGTAATTAGACATCTCTAAGTTGACTCAAAACAATGGTGTTCTCAACTTCTCACACACATTCAAATTTACTTTATAAAGAGGTTAGTGTCAGGAAATTAGAGAAAATGGACAGCACCTAAGCTCGAGAAAACGGTCTTTTTCTATGGGTAACTTCCCAGTTACTCATTTGTTTTGTGGGCATGGAGAATAATATGAATCATCAGGTTTCAGACACACCAGCCGTGCCACTGTGACCTGGGGCAAGTTCATATGCAATCAGGGGCCAGTGCATGCCCAGAACTTGCCAACAGTATGTAACAGAGAGCCAGTACATGCCCAGTACTTGCCAACCTTGCGTAACAGAGACGTAACCGATCGCCCAAGCGGCTAACGAGCCTATCTATCAATGGTGAAGAGGATAAAAATAATATATACACAAAAATAAATGTTACTTTGGATAAAAAAATAAAAACAAAAACTCTAAGACAATTTATTAAAGACGAAAATAAACAATAAAAACATTGTTAATACGCCTGCAATCATCTCACTGCTCGGTGATTTATGCGCTGGTGCCAAATCACCGTCATTTGTTCTGTATTTTGTTTACCAATGTTGAATCGTTTTCTTTATTAAACAATTAATATTCATGTATAGTAATAACACGATAAATCTTCATTTATTCAGTATTTATTTTATTTACCAATGTTTTAATCGCTTTCTTTATTAAATACTTAATATTCATGTATAATAATAATACAATACTTTTCGATTCGTCTGTAATTTCTATTCGTGTAAAATAATAACTTACAATTTGTCAGTGATACCAGCGACTGTTAGTGGTGACGAAACGGATTTGATATTGGTAACGAAATGGGGTTTTGGCGATGAAACGGGTCGGTGACGAAATGGGGTGTATCCACCGTACGCTATAGTAGCAATATAGTTACCGAACTTACTGCATGCACTAATCGTTTATTTTTTTTACAGTAGTTAGAATGGAAACTCACTGGCAACATATTAGCATGCCCAATACCCGCTAATAGTGAAAACTAGAGGATAAAGTAAATTAAGTAAAATATAGTAGACTAACCATCCGACCGACTATTATAGTAAGATAAAGAGGATATATGTGATTTATCACATAAACTGGGGAAAAATATACCGAGATAAAGTTCAAAATTTACGGTGCAGGTATTATCACAATTTCAGTCGAGTAATTTAGAATTAAGAAAGTAAGAGTAACCATCCCATCTATTGTTAAAATAATAAACAACTCCTGATTTATGTACTGTACAGCCTTGTGAATGTATTCAACGCATATTATATCATTCTCTAAATCAAATGTAAGTCTGTATATTTTCAGCCACCAACTGCAACTCTATTAATAAACCGATTATTATTATTATTATTATTATTATTATATTTGAAGTTGGCGGCCCAGCAGACGACCACCTGCGCGGGACTCCCGACGTCTCCAGTCTGTCAATAATCTCGTGTGAGTCTGAAAACGCACAATTACTCCTGTTATTTTGTTATGTATTGACTGGAATGAGGAGTCAGTGAGTACATGGAGTGTTGAATCACAGGATCGTAGGCTCACTGGTTATTGGTAGGTACATTTTTTGTGAGTTTTTAGTCAACTTGTTTTTGAATTTTGAAGTTAACATGGGGGAAAGTCCAACGACCTTGTTTTGTTTACATGTGGAGCTGAAGAATGGTTAAGAGGTTTTGGTGACGTTGATGTTTCTCATTATTTCATGACGGAAATGGTTGATATCACCCTTTATATGCTTATTGATGAGATAAAAGATACATTACCACGAATATAGTTATAATATGTGTAAACGTTAATAAATTTAGGAGCTGAAGTGGGTAAAGTATATGGATGGCATGAGATAATTGTCATTTAATTGTTTCGACCACTAGACATTAATTGGTCCTTAGTAAAGTACTGAACTGTATAGCCATGATGACATCTGGCTCAGCTTAATGGTGAATTAAAATGTGTTCCCTTATTTACATTTTTAGTACTATGGTGTATTACATAGGTAGTCCACATAACTTTAGATTGAGGAAAGATCAGGATGAATGCTAGGGAGAGAGTCACCAATTTAATCCGGTCAAATTTCACTTATGCACTGGTCTTTGTTTGGATATTGAAATTATGATTTCCGATGTTATTTGATGAGTTTCGAACGAACTTCATATTCATTTCAGCCGGAAATCAATAGTTTTTGAGATCTCCCCCCTACCCATCAATCTTAATTTTTTTTTTATTTAGTAAATCACAAATGAAATACCAGCAAAACCAAAACTAACCTGACCTAACCTAACCTAACACTATTTTTCTGATGATACTCTGCAATTGACTTAAACTAATCTCTATCACAATGTCGGCACAGTTCTTTCCACCTGTTCAGCCATATTTGGTAATTCTGGTGCTGAAAAATAAAATCTCCGCTCCTGACGCACCCACGCATTGCTCATTGGCAAAGACAAAAAATTCTTGCCCTATTATAAGTCTCCTATCGCTATAGCCAATAAGAAACTCCCACACCACCCCCCTGCACATGCGCTGTAGACGGAGGTAAGGAGCACTGAACGATGGGTGGTCAGACCTTCTCTGTGGGATGTAAACAACAAATGGCGACACTTGTGACTGACCAAATCTAATAATATTGAAAAATTAATATCTCGGTTAGCCTTGATTTCCGGCAGAAATATCATAGGAGAAAAAGGTCTTAGAATTGTCTAAACATTACAAAAAACATATTAATAACAGCGAGAGAAAGACCGGTGCATGACTGAAATTTCACCTTTAATCCTTGTTATTTCTTTACTACTTGGTCCTTGATGTGTTTGGATACACCCCATTTCATAACCAATCCATTTTGTCACCGACCCGGTTCGTCACCAAAACCCCAATTCGTCACCAATATCAAATCTGTTTTGTCATCACTTACAGTCGCTGGTATTAGTGACAAATTGTAAGTTATTATTTTACGCGAATAGAAAGTACACATGTATACAGACGACTCAAGTAGTAAGGTGTTATTAAAAAATAATTATACATGAATATTAATTATTAATAAGG